TACTAAATGGAAATAAGATACCCCCATCTTTGATTGTTAGAGGAAATCATTTGTTGAGGGAAAGGGAGGGGTTATTTGCCTACATAACTAAAGAAAGAGTATTTTTTACATATTTGGTTCAGAGATGGTAAAGATGATAATTTTAGAAAACTTGATTGACAGGTTGATTGTACAGCCAACGAGGAAGTTTGTAAGAAGTATGGAGTCAGTGGATACCCTACACTGAAAATCTTCAGGGCCGGAGAATTTTCAGAAGAATATGGAGGACCAAGAGAAGCAGGTATTTAAAGCTGATATTGTATATATTGTTTATAAGATATTCAGATTTTTTCATGTAAAAGACACAGATCAAAACCAATGTTTTACATTGAAAGGTAGAATATTTATGTTGAAAATTCAAATTTTATTTCTTTGTTTTAAGATGGTATTATCAAATACATGCAGACAAGAGCTGGGCCCACATCTAAAGAGCTAACTGATGTGGCTACTGCTGAAAAATTCCTCTCCAAGGGCGAATATGGAGTTATAGGTAAAATGGTGTACAAGTTGAAAAGTAAAGAAAGTTGTTCAAATCCTTTAAATTTAGAGACCATAAAAATCATATAGAAAGAAATAGTTGGTCTATTTGTGTCCTGTAGAAAAGTTTGGTATTTGTTGGCATTGATTTCTGTGCTATTGTTAACCATCTTTCTATTCCAAAATGGAAAAACGAAAAGCAGGACATTGATTTTATGTATTTGTTTCTTTGATTGTAGGATTCTTTGAAGATGGTGAGAGTGATTTAGCTAAGACATTCCAAAAGACAGCTGATGCAATGAGCACAGATCTACGATTTGCCCATACCACCAGCAAAGAAGTTCTGGATAAATATGGTTACAAAAAGTAGGTGCATTCACTTTGGATAAAAACATTAACAGTTAACATTGTTAAAGTCTAAACTGTCATACCGTTGAACTCAGTATCTCTAACACTGATATCTCAAATGCTGTGGATATGTCAAAGTGATTCAGAAGTCTCAAACACGTATTCCTTCAAAACACTTGATACTTTAAATCATCAGGTACCTCAAAGGTTTCTTTTTGATTGAGATAACAAGGTTTGATTGTATTTTGTGTGATAAAAGTAATTATTATTTTTTTAATATATTTTAGTGATATTGTCTTGTTCCAACCCAAGAGACTTAACAACAAATTTGAGGAATCTGTGATGAAATACACTGATGATGCAGCCGTCCATAAAATCAAAGACTGGATTAACAGCAACCTGTAAGTGATGTGCCCTAATCTATCATTTAATCTTCATTTCCTCCACAAAATAGAAGCACATTGGTAATTCTAATTTAATCTTTGTTGCATTAAAATTTTAGTAAGGTAGGTTCTTTCAAGGATTTTGAAATGAATGAGGTATTTTTCTCTACAGACTTGGACTGTGTGGACACAGGACCCAGGGTAATGCCGAGAAATTCAAGAAACCCCTGGTGGTAGCCTACTATGATGTAGATTATGTGAAGAATGAAAAGGGAACAAATTACTGGAGAAACAGGTGAGGTGCCATTGTTAATCTTGATTCTTTATGATTGTTTTATAAAAATGGTATTGAACCTCATAGAGAACAGGATAAGATGCAACATGATTATAATTGTAGATAATTTGCTTTCTTATTTAAGGGTGATGAAGGTTGGCAAGAAGCTGAAAGACGAGGGTAAGAAGGTTTACTTTGCAGTCAGCAATCACAAGGACTTCAGTTACGAGCTGGGAGAGTTTGGAATGGGAGACGTCAGCGGTGACAAGCCTGTGGTAGCCGCCAGGGACGAGAGCGACAAGAAATACGTCATGACGGAGGAATTCTCGTAAGTTCAACACCGTGACTGTGGATGATAACGTGAAACAAAAATAATCCAAAACGTCTATACTGTAAATAAATGAATATATATATATATATATATGATGTCACTAGATGTGAGAGTTGTGGATTATTCTATGCATATTAATTATTGGACCCAGGATCATGAAACAGACTTGGACTTAAGTCAAAATTTCAATCATCTCTAAATGTTTAAATCTTATTAAATGACACTTTAATTTGCATATGACAGTGGATTGTTGATACAAACGCGGAAAGCATTTTCATTTTTGACTGCTTAACTTCTAAATAATTTCAGCAGCACAAACATTTTTTGATTTAAGCTTAAGATGCTTTGTGATCCTGGGGCCAGAACACACCTTGATCAATTTTTGTAGTGCTATAATGTGCAGAATTATTGAAAAGAGAAAAATTAACATATTTATAATCCAAGTCTACTATTATCTTCATGTTTAGAATGGACAACCTTGAGAAGTTTGTTCGGGACTTTTTGGATGGAAAAGTAGAACCTTACCTTAAGTCTGAGGCAGTTCCAGACAATACCGGCGCAGCTGTGAAAGTAAGCAGAGCAAATTGTATAAGAAATTGAAATGGATAACGCTTTTACAATCATTCTGGTGAATTTGCTGTAATTCCAAAGTTGATTTAAAATTTTGCTCATTCTTTTAGACTGTTGTGGCCAAAAACTTTGACGAGATTGTGAATGACCCAGAGAGGGATGTCCTCATTGAATTTTATGCTCCATGGTGTGGACATTGTAAACAGTTGGAACCTAAATACAATGAACTAGGAGAAAAGGTTAGCATGCAGCATAAGATATCTATATCAGAATATAAGATGCTCCAAGTCTTCAACTCTGTTCTATTCACTAGGAATCGCCAGAATTTCTACCAAAATAAACATTTCTACAAATAATAATAATATGATTTCTTGAATATTACAGTTAGCAGAGGAGCCTGGAATAACCATAGCTAAAATGGATGCTACAGCCAATGATGTAGCTAAGCCATATGAAGTCTCAGGGTAAGCTCATTTAGTTGTGGGGCAGGGATCCAGTATTTCTAATCATAAAGTCAGTGTCTTTTAAAATAAAAAATGCGTGAACTTGTATTCCAAGTAATATGCATGAAATGTTGACCATTTTACTAGTTTCATAATCAGGTCTCATATATAGGTCTCTGTTAGGTCAGTTTTACTTTTGTTGAGGTGGTGCAAATTTGACCATGTTCCTTCTATTTTTGTAGGTTTCCTACAATTTATTTTGCACCAAAAGGATCCAAAGATAGTCCTAGAAAATATTCAGTAAGTAAAACGTCTTTATTTGAACAAACAGATGTATATGCAATAAAGTTAAATTCTTTTCTCGGTTTTGCAGATTATATGCACAAAATGTTAATCATGATCTTTGGGTTAAAACTCTCAATATTTTATGCATACTTGAATTGGGGTAGTATGGTGATATCCAATTGTACATCATATTAATAGACTTTATAAATGTAAACTCTGACTGCCTTTTGTAGGGTGGAAGAGAAGTGGACGATTTCCTTAAATATTTAGCCAAAGAATCCACAGATGAATTGAATGGCTATAAACGTGATGGCAAAAAGAAGAAGAAGAAGACAGAATTATAAGTGAGAGTAGAGAGATGAGTGTTGAGTGATTGTCCACATAACGAGCAAATGTGTCAAGAGAATGGATGTGTCTGGTGCTGCGTTATGAATAGTTCATTATCATGTATATCTCAGAATCTTATTGATAGACATTTTGGGGGTTTGTTAGACACAGGTTGATTATTTTTCTTCTTTTAAAAAATTTTTTCACTTAAATTTTGTTGGTTTGTCGTATAGGTCACAAAGCTTTATATGAAATCAAAACTTAAAAAATTCATGAATGTCATATTGATGTTTGTGGTGTGAAGGTATTTGTTGATTTGTAGATTATTTATTTGACTACAAAGACCAATTATTATGGCCATAATGAGTGATTGTTGCATTGTTATACACAGTTCCATGTTAAAACTACACAATTCACATATTTTTGTATGTGTATTTCATGTAAAGCGGTGCCTAGTTTCCCAGTAAAAAGTGCTCCAAAGGTAACTCTTGCCTGCTATTGGATTTTGTGTCTAACCAAATAAATTTTTTGTTTTTCAAATTTTCTTTAAATGTAGAATATTTTTGTTTCAAAATGTGGGAGACAACATTGGGAAATAAAATTCTTTTTGTAATTTCCAGTTTTATCTTAATTTTTTTTTAGCTCACTTGGCTTAGAAGGCTAGTTGGTCTATACCATCACGTGTTTTTATACTAAGGTTGAATACGGAATATTCCATCTACCGGGTACCTAATCAGTACATAGGGCTTTCAGCAGATGTGACAGGTCTTCATGGGATGCTTACTCCTCATATGCACCTATTCCCACCTTAGGAAATTCAAATTTTGAAAAGCCTTTGAGCTTTTGCAATGAAATTTTATATCACAACTACCTAAAGAAGACTCCCAATTCTGAGGTCAAAGGTCAGAATCAGAAATTCATATACATGTACCCTGGTATCATAAAAAATTGAATAGTTTCCCATTGATAACTTCAGTTTTATGCAAGCTTTTGCAATGAAATTATATAACCCAGTAATGTTCAGAAAAATCCTATGTATACTGAGCTCAAAAGGTTATGGTCAAATATTCATATCTTCATGAAATTATTTCCTGGTGATGACTAGGAGGGTTTGCAATGAAATCTTACACTGTTGGTCAATTGAACTTAAGTCCTGTTAATTTTGAGGTCAAAAAGTTGAAGACCCAAGTCAGAAATTTGTTTACATGGTTATTTTCATCCGGTTTTATTTTTGCCCTTTTACACCTGCAAACGATTTTGCTCCATTTTGAATTCACACAGTCCTGTTCAAGAGATAATGCCATTTTCTTTGAATTCTGGCCATTTTAAATTTGCTCAATTGCAACAAGGGTGAAAATTTACCTGCATACAGTATATATAACTAAAATAACAAAAATCAGACAAGCATTAATATGGCCCTCTTCTGTTTATAAAGACAGTCTTGTGGTTTTCTAGACCACTAGATTTAACATGAAGTCTGATATGTAAAATTCATGAGCTGTACAAAAGAAAAACACAAAATGTCTTGCCATATGATCAGTTTAATTAATGATATAATTAACAGGATGAATAGTTCACGGCGGGGAATCTACATCATCGTACGGGATTAGGACACACAAAAATGGAGGACAAATGCTCCGCTTCGATGTAAGAAATTGATATTTTTGCACTTATAAAGAATGGATATTAAATCTGTATCCTGCCTAAAGTATGCCAAAGAACATCAACTACAATATATATTGTACGTTTGTTCGTGATAGAATCTTATTGCTCCAAACACTTCGACACAGTTCGAAAACAAGTAAGAAAAACCCGGGATGCGGGGCACACATTTTTAAAATTCGACCTATTATTCGCATGTCCAGATGTACTAGACATTTTATTCTTCCGCGTTTACACTAGAACTAATATTTAAAAAAAAACAAGATTTGTTTAATAGTTTATTATGCTTTAATTATCCAAGAAAAAAGTATAAATCATTTTGTTTTCAGAAATGATGTAGGGCACACCAACACTAAAACGGATATGGGACACACAAAAAGTTACTTTCTAATTGAAACATCGAGCATATCTTAATGTTTCGATTTAAACGACTGCTGTTAGGTACATTTGCTGATCAATTTGCAATTAGAAAACGCATCGCTGATATTCCATTTCGCTTTTTCTGCAAATATATTGGAGATTTGACGATTTTCCCTGTTTAATATAATAAACTTTAATCTTTAACTTTAAAGAAATACTGTGGATAAATTTACATAACTTTGTGGATTCAGAGATACTTTTATGAGTTATTTTTGGTTACTTAGCTGCTAATTTTATAAACCTCAGGATTGAACTACCTTAACCCATGACAGGTCTGCAGAAGTGAAATTCTACACTTCCAATACATGGTATTGGAATTTATGGCTAAGATCAGACTCTAACTTAAACACTTTGTAATGAATCAATACCTATATTTTTTAACTTCAAGACAATCCTAGAAGTAATGTTCCTTCTGGGTACTCTGTAGCTATATCTGAAATGATACACAAAGCACACTGTATGCTGTGTGTATCATTTCAGATATAGCTACAGAGTACCCAAAAGGAACAACATGATCAGATATAGCAGATCCATACTTGTGTACATTTATTAATATGTGTATAATAAAGTACATTCAGAAATTGCTAAATCAAATCTACACTGACTTGGTGAAAAATCAACTTGTGCAAATACTAAAATACTGTATAAGTCGTACATTATGCTGTAATAGCAAAAAAGTCACTGGATGCATTTTTATTCAATATATATGACAAATGATCTTTGAAGTCATTCTAACATTAGTACAGAAACAATGAAAATCTGACAACTCTATGGTAAAAGCAAAATGAATACACACACATACAATGTCTGTGGACCACAGTTAGGGGTACTGTACAGCCCTCACAAGTAAAAAGACACATATCATGATCTCAGATCTACTGGGTTTTGACATGACAGTTTTATATAAATAGTTCCTACACACGCGGACACTACACTAGTCCTTTAATGGCGTCCTGCAGCTTCTTCCTGGCCTCGATCACCTTCAGTTCTTGTCGGCGGATGTCCTCTTCTGACACAATTACTTGCTGTAATGGAGAAGGTTAACTTTGTTTTAATGATTACAAAGAATCACTCTGTTGCATGATGGGAAAATATGGAAAAACATTATGAAATTAATTCTGAAAACAAATTTAATCTGAAGAATATGTCTGAAAGTTTACCATCTTGAGTTTGATCTTTTTTGTTTTCTAACTAAAAATAAAACTGCTATCAACAAGCTCTTGAGTTAGGACATCTAAGCTTATCATAGCGTATAGTCCTTACTTCAAAAAAGTTGTATATGTGTTTGATTACATTTCATCTTGATCATGTACATGTATGGTCCTTCCCCGTATGTATGTTTGATATTTGTCAATGAGCACCTAGGATTATGATGCTTATATGTCTGTATGGTTGATACATATCGGATCCTGTCCACCATTTAGTGTGGTTGATACAAGTTGATGTTGATGTTGACATCTAAGCTTATTAATCTGTATAGCACTTACCTGTTACGTCCTAGTAGTTGATGCATGTGATGGTCCTTACCTGTATGTGTGGTTGATAGACATCGATGTTGACACCTGGGTTTTTGGCCACTGTTGCTCTGTTATTACCCTGACCCACAACAGGACTATTGCTGATGTGGAGAGCTGCTGATATACTCTGTAAAATGTTTTCTGTTGTCAGCTCTGGCCCTACACCTGCAACATAAAGGCACAGGAATTACAGAAGGTTCCATATTACCCTACTCTAATAAAATAAGTATATTTTGACTACTGAAGATTTTGATTTCAACAAGTACCAACAAGCAAAAATAACAAAACATTTAAACAAACCTTGACATTACTTCTCAAATTATGTGTCTTTTTGGAATGCATAATAAATTTAATACTATAGAAAGCATTTAAACAAACATTGACATTATTTCTCAAATTGCCTGCCTTTTTAGAATGCATAATAAATTTATTACATATAGAAAGACATATTAACTATACATTCTTCTAGAACCTAGACTTCTTTTTTCTGCTGATTTTTATATTCAAACATTTTTTTTCTTCAATTTTTATAACTTTTTTACATCGATTTTACTCTGAGAGTAATTCTTTACATAAATGGTACTGAAATTGGTGTCAACAAAAGTGACCAAGTACAAAAAAACATGCAAAAGAAACACAGATATAAAATGGAACATCCACTTCCCATGATGTCACATCCATTTACTCCTCCCTTTAATTTCTGCTTGAAGACATCCTCTTGATCACATTGAATTCGAACAGTTCTATCCCCCCTCAATATAAATGCATATGTACCCCCTTTAAGAATTGCTTACCCCTATAACTACTTACCCTGTACATTTCTGGGCAGATCCAGTGCCTTGATGACCTCTTCTTGACTATCACAAGCTTGTATGCCTTGTAGTCGTTTCTCCCAGAACAACTAAAAGCAGACAGAATGGCGTTACTCAACAGAAAATTTTGTTCTTAGTACTGATTACATACTCAATTAAAAAAAAATTATAGATGCGCATTAAAGAATGCATGAATAACACAATGTCTTGTTGAGCAAAATGTGAAATAGAAGAAAATATATTGATACAAATTGATCAACGATCCAAATAATCAACACGCATTTCAGACTGCCATTGAATTTCTTTTCTTGATCAATATGGCAGTTTGAAATAACCTTGCATCCGACCGCCCAAGACGCACTAATTTTGTCAGAGGCGAACAGGTGGATGAGTAATTTTTCTTCATAAATCTAAATTCACATATTTCATAAAACTCTCTCAAATCAACAAAGATTACTGGTTGCAATGTGTAACAAACAAATGGGTAGAATTCATCAGCTTATAAGTCCGGGATCAAATATATAGTGAGCTGGCCTCATTCACTATATTGCTAAAAGGAACTTGTAAAAGACAATTATTTTTTCGGGCTCGTACAACTTCGGTAGGGCATCTTTCACTAGCAGTCAGCCCTGGACGTCCAGCTAATTTTACAGTGAGTTTCAAACACTGCAATGTGGCAACACAACAACTTGAGCAGAAAGTTTAATTGACAATGATCAAAACTGTAGAAGAATTAGCATTTTGAAACATTGTTTACAGAGAGGCGAACTAACAGACAGGTGAATGATGAACAACTTACTATAGTCCTAAGACCAATAGTCCTAAAATCAGTTTTAAAATGTGATAAGTTCATAACAAAATGACCTCTGACCTGTTTGGGAGGATCTTGTGGTCCATGTTTTAACTCTGATTTTGTCTTGCTCTCCTCTCGGTGTATGACGGTGACTGGCTGTTTAAAGATGGAGGCTGTCTGCCTGATAGGCAATACTAAAAAATAACAATCAAATTGCTATTAGAGATAATAAATGATTACTGTATACAGGGTTATTTTCGCCCAGTGTCATTTTCGCCCTTTCATTCTGAAAATAATTTGAATAAATTTTTATTAGAAATAAAATTTAATAAATGGCCCCGTTTTAAATTCGCCCATTAGACAAATTGTAACCAAATTTAAACCTGGAAATTCTATGCATCAAAATTTCAGATTCTTTAAAAATGACCAAATACCAGTAAGATTATAATCATTATATTTATCAATGGTGAATGATTTTTAATGATTTTATTTACACAAGTAACATGCAATTATACCAACTGTATTCAATATTGTACACAAGTTCTGCAACTTTAGTATTTGTCAACTTAAAAGAGAGCTTTTAATGTTTTTACACCATTTGCTGGACAGAAGACCATATACACTAACAGTCATCATCTCCACTATCCTAGTGTCCAGTTTGTTTCCCTTTAACTCCCGGAGATGAGAGTAAACAAATCGGACACTTGGCTAGTGAAGCTGCCTAGTTTATAAATAAGGTTATCCTTTTAATTATGAAAAGTGCTATATAATTTGAAAGAAAAAATTAGAAAAGTTTTACCACCTACTAATTCTTAAAGACCACATTATCAGAATATGTTAGAAACAAATCAGCTTATAAATGTTATAGTGATATATTATTTTGCAGCCAGACACCCTGGAGTTCAGAGATACAGACAAACCTCTGGTGAAGTCATACGGTCCTTGTGGGCGCTTACTTTTTCTCAGTTGACTGTGGTTAATTCGACCACTGCGGAAGTCAAAAGCACTAAGATCAAACTGTTCACCTAGCTGTCGAGCCAGCTGGGGTTTGCTTCTTATCTTCTTACCATCTGGACTAAAAATAAGAAATGAGAAACAATTTAAAATTTTGAATTTCAACATACTTGTACTTTTTTACTGGTTCTAGTTTAAATTTTTCTTTATCATGTTCACTTAAACTTTTTCAAGTACCCAATAGTTTTTTTCAAATGCATTATATTAAAAAAAATATTTTAAAATATTTATTACGTCAGTCCAAATATGACTACAGTTACCAATTGAATTATTTCCTTTGCCCTAAATAAATAAAAAATAAATAAATCATTGTACTGATGTTTCTCTTGTTGGGGTGGGTGGTTTTTTTCCATTATTTATTACAGTAGATTTGGAATCCTAAAAGTATCCATAAGAAATTCACTAAATAGATGCCGTCTGCATAGATATAATTATGTACCCAAGCCATTTCTTCTTTTTCCTTTGTTTTTTTTTTTTCTTGATTATGATCAAAATTATGTTTTAAAAAAAATTCGATATTGAAAGTGAAAGTTAATAGTTATTGCCCTTGTATTTATTTATGAATATTTTTCAGCAATTGTTCACAAAGTAACTCCACGCTCCTTATAACTATCATTCCTAGCCGTTCAAAAATAGGACTAACAGTGGTGTCAGATGCACCCCGTCGGCCATAATGGACGAGACAAAGGTGAAAAAACACATAAAATTAAAACGCGAAATATGCTAATTTTCTCTGTCTCGAGGGTCACAAAAGTTTTATTTTTCTATTCTAAAGACGATTTAAACTATTTTTACGAACCTTATGTAATAAACATCAGTCTTCCCCGCAGACAGTCCCGATTTTCGGACTACTTCTTCTCGCTTCCAGCCTGGGGGTAGTCCAACACAGTCCAGTCTGCGTTTTTCCATCTTTTGTGGATCCCCCAAAAAATTATTAGATACAGTACCTGGCCATAAGTGTGTCATAATTTTATTTTTACACTATATATTTCATTGAAAAACGTATTTTTGTAAAAACTTGTTGTGAAGTCAATTTTGGCTCAATTTTCATGATTTTTTCACTGAAACATGCAGAATAATTCAAATTTTCTTATCTTAAATGATAAACAAAATGATACTTAAACTATTGAGAATAAATTATGAAATATTGTCAAGACAAAATATTCTAACCTCAAATTACTATGATTTCTTAACAAATTGAAGTCTTAAAATTTTTGTTTTGCACTTGACCTGTGATTTCATGGTAATGCATAAAGATAAAACTATTTTGAAATAATGTGAAGAAACTACAACAAATTCTGCATTTTATGGTGCTGTTAGACATTAAAAAGAAACAACAAATGACACTGCAATAATATTTTAGAAAAATGTGTTTTTCAATGAAATATATAGTGGAAAAATAAAATTATGACACACTTATGGCCAGGTACTGTAGATCGTACTTGAACTGGGTTACTCGGCATAATATTTTAGGTGTGTTTTGTGGTAAATTCATTTAAAATTCCTCATAATCATTATATAAAAAATACTTATACTATTTTCCAAAGAGCCAATAAATTGAATATATCGATAACTTTATCAATAACTTTTCAACGTGAAAGTGTTATTTCCTCAATTAGCCTTACCCAATTTGCCTAAAAGGTGCAAGAAAGCCGAGTTAGAAATGCAGGGAGTTCTACATTCAAAATTGTTGGTTCTTTTTGTGTGAATAACAATGTTTTTAAGAATTTGAATGTTTTATTCTCTTTTTTAAGCGATTGACTAGAATTGAAATTGATTACACATGACATGAAGTTGTGTATACCCAATTTTGGTCCCCCCAAATCAGAAAGGTTTGACTATTTTCAGTGTAAACGGGTAAAGGGAAGTCAATAGACAACAGGAAAAAAAACAAACAATTTTTTTCATCAGCTTTAGGGATTTATTAGAGCATTTATATTTTTCCTATCTGTCTTTTCTTTTTATAAAGAGAAATTGAGAATTATGACTGTACACTACATTTGGTTGTTTTCTTTTTTATCCAGTTGATGATCCATTCATTACAAAATGAGCAGAAAGAAAATATTTCAAGAAGATACTGCATGGTTTTCTTCCAGTGTTTCACAGAAATTTAAGAATATTTGGAGTAAGTTTGATAACATATTATTATTAAATGCAATATCAGAGCATTGCAAACCTTTTTCAAACACCACTTTAACTAGTCCGAAATATCTGACGTTTTCCTGTTTTTTTTTTAACAATTTTGATATTTTATGTGCCAGGAAAACGTCAGAACCGGCGCCATTACGAAAACAGGGAAATCGCCGCCTCCAACCGGAGGCCGCATTCTCGAGTTGATTTTAGATAATTGCTAATCAAATTAAATTTCAAAGTCACAAGTTATCAAGAGTACAACACTTTTAGTACTTACCAATATTGTTTTTATGGTTCATTTTTAGAATTTACAATCTGTTGAAAACAATTTTATCAGACTGTCAAGATTTGTCTTCATTTCGTGTATTTTAAATCTTGCAAGTCCTGTGACGAAATGTGGAGTAATATTTTCTTTTCATTGATATTGGTGAGTACAAGAGGCATTGTGCTACTGATAAATTCTTATTTCGGCAGTTAGTTCGGTTCGCAAGTATCAAAAATCAACTTCGGTAGGAGACAGTGAAATTTCCAGTTTTTGTAATGGCACCGGTTCTGACGTTATCCAGGCATGTAAAATATCAAAATCGTGAAAAAGGCCTGGAAAACGTCAGATTTTTCGGACCACGCTTTAACCAGTAACTTAATCTCAGATTCCTATGACTCTATAACCCCTGCTTTTTATATTGTGACCCGCAGGTGAGATTGCATGTCACAATATAAAAAGCAGGGGTTAGAGTCAGAGGAATATCTCGGAGTACCAGTAACACAGCTGCTCCTTGATGTTAATTGCTCAAAATCCACCAAATGAAATCCGAGAATGCGAGAGTCTAGGGAGAAAATATTGGTTTTGACAGATTGTATGACTAACTTTTTCAGACTTTGTATCTTTGCATGAAACTAGTACAAACTTTAATTTGGTGTTGCATGTCAGGTCAAATGTTTTCCAGGCTAAGGTTGTAGGGAATTCCTTTCTATAATTTAAAAACATGGAATGAATGCTGGCATTAGTTTTGACATTAAGGCACAGTAAGTTTATGCTTTCAAGATCAGTTTTATGCTTGGTTGAATGTCTATTTCAGATAAGGTTACTGACCAAATTTTTTGTTTTTTAGAATTAGACTGAGAAGTGGTCTGAATTCAAGCATGGTCACTGTTTACTTGGTCTTCCATTTTCATTCAAATTGTATTTTATCATACTTTGACTGCTTTAAATATATTTTCAATGAAGACATTAATTGCCTGCTACTTACATGTAGTACATAGTCATGTGTAAAGCAAAAAATCTGCACACTTTGTTTCTTCACATGAGTGTTTTTATTGCAATGCAGATATTATTTTCTTCACAGAAAAAAATGGTGGGCAAAGGGCTCCATTGGATTCAGCCATGTTTGTTTTCAGCCAAGATTTCAATGCACCAGACACACTACAGTAAGTACAGTACTCATTCTTTGTATATTCAGAAATGGTTAGCATTGGAAAATAAAATTAGTGTTCAAATGTTAAATCCTTCTCCTAGCCATAAGTCTGGTACTCAAAATGTATTTCCTGGGTGCAAAGCAGATGAGGGTCATTTGGACTCATTCTAGATGGGACATCAGTCCATTGTAAGTTAACTCCCCAGCATAAACAGGTACTTATTGCAACTGGTTGGAATGAAATAAACTAAAAAGTTGCACATAAAAGAACAAAACTTTCAAGTGTCCACAAGAGGGGTTGAACCAGCAACCTTTGGTTTACTGTCCAAACAACTATGAAAAATGGCTCATGTGCTCAATTTAATAATTAGAAGATTTTTTTTCTTCTTACCTAAACTATTGAAAAAATCATTTGCACAGTCCCTTACATATAATAGTTTGCTTATTTACAGGCTGAAGTGTCATAAGGATTGATAATTTAACATTTTCATTTTTTGTTTTCTTTGTTTTTCATTTGTTTTGATTGTTTTTCAAAACCAGAATCTTCACAAGTGAGGCCTACTTGAGTGAACACTTGGCTGTCCTACACCCAATGTTTATATCTGACAGTGATTCCAGAGGTTCCAAGTCTGTCCTTATGGACTATAAGCTCCCTCCAGAGGAAGTGTACAAAGGTAGCTCTATATTCAGATATTATAAATCATAAACTTGTTTTCAAATCATCATGTGAGGAACTGGTAGATTTAAAACTGCAGGTTGCATTTTATTTTGGCATTCAGTTATTTGGTAATTTCTATCATCAATTCTTAAACGTCCAATAATGCAAAATTAGACCCTTCTTGGATATCTTTTTTGTTCTCCATTTTAGCAACAAGAGAGAAAGGGGTTTACAAATGGGACAGTAATTCAACCTTGAAGGAAGATGAACAGCAGGTAAAAAATATAATTTATAGCTTGAATCGCCCAAGATCTTTCCTTGCCATCTTTTAAGAATTCCATTATGGTTTACAAATAAGTTGTTGATTAAAGTGTCGGTTGAGGTCACTCCAGATGGCCCAAATTTTGTTCTGCTGAATTATTTGTCAATTATGATCATTCAAATGCAGGCCCTGGTTCCAATTCTACTTTTCATTTTACAAATTATTTTACAAGTCCTCTTATGTAAATATCTTCTGATTTTACTGTCTCTTTGAAAGTATATTAAGTTCCAAATTGATTTCCAGAGTAGGACAGGCAGACAGACACGCAGTAGGGGAAAGGTAACTCAGACTGAAAATGAGGATGTAGCTGCATCAGGCAAGCCTAAAGCCAGAAAATTGACCACAGAAAATAGCCACCCAAATCAGATGACCAGAGAAAAGACAACAGAAAAGAAAGAAGCGGAAGATGCCGGTACGAAAGACACAGGTAATAAACCATCCTCACAATGTCAAGGTTTTGGGATTTTGAAAGAATTTTTTTGTGAGGATGGTAATAAACAAAGAGAAGTATCTCCTATAATGGAATGCAAGGTTAGAGAAAATGTCATTGCATATTTTCAAAGTTGCAAGGGAATTACTCGCTGATATTTACTGTTAGTAGTTATTGTGGAAATTTGAAATTCGCCTACTTTTTGAACTGGACATACATGTAAATGAAAGGAAATAACAATTGCATTCATAGTCTGGTGAACATAATTTTTTTATCCTAAGCATAATATATGATAAATTTTATTAAAATATTTTTTAGGTTTAGAACATATGTGCCATATTGATGATATTCCTAAAATAACTGGAGTACTGGAAGAATTTATTCCTGGACAAAACGGTTGTGAAGTATTCAGAAAGTAAACAGCTCATAAAAAAAATTCAATGGGTTTCACAGTCTAAAAAGAAAGTAATGACACCTGCAAGAGGAGAAGTAAATTTAAGCCTTGTGGTAAGCAGATAAATGCTGTTATACTGAACATGTTTGTGTGTGAAAATATTTGAGGACAAGCCTGATAATTGTTTTTGCTGGAGAATTTAAAGGAGAGAGTTGCTGAACTGGAACTAATGATTTTGATTAGTCATAGTGACATTGGAATTGTGGATTTGGACTTCATATACCTTACCTTGAAATAATATTTTTTTATTGTTTAATGATAATCTATAGATCTGATAATTAATTTATCTTGAGAGAGTATTTTGATAATGAGAGCTTTAAAGATTTACTTGTCATGCTATTATTTTTCATTATTAATTTTAGAAAAATCAAATAAAAAAATAAATTTATAAATAGGATAAAAATCATCACACAGCAGTGGATAACAACAGTTTTATTGAACATGAAGTAACACATATTTCAAACATTTTCCTTGTAAAAATGACATGGTCTTTTTTTTTTTCACTAATTTCATTTCAAGATTGATTGCATAGAGAAAAGTAAAGAACATTTTGTAAAAAAGTGTATATAGCACATTTTGTAATATTTTAATAGCTTTTCATAAAGATACATGTATGAGTATAGCTTGTAAGATGTTTCATGTAAAAGAATTTACTAAAATTCAGAATAAAATTTACAAAATGCATACCACTTCTTTTTTATTATTATTATTCGAAAAAGATTTTCTTCAATTTGAAGTTAAAGTGTAGCAAAAAATAATAACACATTTTATTATTCCTGCTGGATTATATTCAGATTTTCCTGCAAAGGAGAGGATAGGGAAAATAGGAAAAAAATTGTTGTCACTTTGGCAAAAACAATGTTTTATTCATTTTAAAAATTGCCACATTCAATGGTAATCTGTCTTAATTGGTAGCTCAGTGGTTTAAAGCATTCACTTTGTACCTTGATGATCAAGAGTCTGATCTTAGCAGAAATTTTACCTTTTTTAAAATTTACTTTAAAAAGCCTCCCCCCCTTTTTTTTTTACAAAATTAAATGACTATTTTTACATTGAAATTCCAAAGGGTTAATATACCAATTATTATTCTCATATTTTCCATTTGTCATAATTTTCTTGGTGTGTTATAATTTCATAGAAATTTTTAAAGAACTTAGTACACAAAATTAAGTCTCTGTGTACAACAATTCTTAGCACTTGCTTGTGTTTACACACAAATAATAAAACTAAAAACAAACGCAAAACATTTTAAAATAAAATGTGCACATTAACATTATTAAAGCTTCCATATTTTCCAACAATTATATATGTACAAGAAATGCTGACTTCATATCACAGAGAAAGGATATACATCTTTATAATGACCCTGTCTAAAAAATAATAACAATGGATACAAAAAGCTTGAACGTCATTTTCACTAGCTTTAATTTACAGAAAATGAGAATTACGTGGCAGCTTTATATGAGTACCTACTGTATATAGGGTTATTTTTGTTCCATATAATTTTTAATCAATAACACACAAATTCACCCCCTTTAAATCTGCACAAATGCAGTTACTTTCTAAAGAGAATATCTGTATTTGTTGAATTCACTACATTTTGAATTTCCTCATTAATGAGGAGGAAAATGGGCAAAAATAAAATGGGGACAAAAAAATTATCTAGAGGCTTATGCAGTATACTCCATTAATTAACAAAAATATTGAACAACATTCCAAATTGAACAGTGGGGATTATGGAACTCCTCAATACATTTCTTTATTGAAATGATCATTATGTTTCTGAATTGATACTGTAGTACATGTAAAAACAATGCTGATTATTTCCATTTGTAGTTTAAAAGAAAATTTTAAAACTGGAAGACTCTTGATGCCACTATCTTTGATCATGAATGAATTCTGCACAATTTAGAGTTATTAAATTATTATGAGATTTTTTTTTTTACAAATTGTAATTTTACAAATTGTAATAGCATGGTAACCCAGCATGTTGACAGATAGCTTCGATTCCCTTAATGAATGTTTTGTAAAGATAAATACATAAACACAGACTGTAGTTGTCTAGTGCCAGTCTGTAATCACTCTCAATGTCTACTGCACAAGAGAAGCACCACATGGCCTCTTCAAACAGGGACATTTCCATCATAGCGTAACCAAGGACAGAGTAGAAAATGGGAATATCTCGGTCAAGGACATCAGCCTGAAGGTCAATGAGGGCACGCATGGCTGATTCAGACTGGTGCATTGCTTTATGGGATAGGATGAGGAGGTAGCGTGCCAGGACTGTGGGGGACAGGACCACCTCCTCTTGGGAGTCCACCTCATCCTGTAGACAGTCGGGGAGGGTCACCTTCTCCAGACCCCCGTACGTTATATCAGAGGCATCCTCCACCCCTTCAATCCCCAGAGCATCCTCCAGGTACATGATGGCATCATCGTAGTTTGCTTGACTGTACAGGAAGTTAGCATACTTCACACAGACACTGGGGTTGAGATCTAGGGCCATGGCATCTTGGAAATGTTGCTCTGTTGTGAGAATCATTTCTAGTTCACTGTCTATCTCCTCACAGAGACAAGCTTTTACATAACACATTGTGGCCAGGTTACCCAAAGTTGAACACATTTCTTTACCTAGTTTTCCATCATGAATTTCTCTGTATACCTCTAGACTTTCATTAAAAGAGTCAATAGCTTGTTCCACATCACCAGCACTGGAGTGCATTTGCCCCAGCTGTGTCAGAGTATGTATGAGATCTTCTTTGATATCATTGCCCATGTCTTCCTGCATGTCGTGGGCCTGTTCCAGATAGTGGACCGCGTTCTGGTACTGCTGCATGCTGATGTGAGCCTCAGCAGACTTGCTGACCAGTTGATTGTGCATGGTCATGTTGTCACCAATGGCATTTGGATCAAACACTTCATCAAAGGAAACCTGACTTTCACAGTCTCCATACTCTAATGCCTCGTTATAGAACTGTAAAGCTGTTTTATAGTCATATTGTGCAAAATAACAGTCTCCCAACACTTGAAGAACTCGCATGAACTGTCTTCTTTCTCTCATCTTGCAAGCCATCATCAAAGTTCTTGCCACAGTCAGATATTTCACAGCCTTCTGGTGTAGGTTCAGAATGTTGTAAGAGTTCCCCATCACATACAATATTTGACACACTAACCAGAATTTCCTCTTTGGTAGCATAGGGAGTTTTTCTCCATAGATGCTGCAGAAGATCTCAAAACCCTGATAACACATGGTCACACATTTGTGATAGTTTTTCATTTTATAATATGTGATTCCCATCATGGAAAGAAGGAGTGCATGAATGAAAGTACTTGTCAGCCCATAGGCATATTTAATGAGGTGCAGTGCTAGATCAAAGGTGGACACTGCTCTAGGATACATGTGCAACATGAATGAACAAACACCCACCATACAGGTAACATGAGCATGCTCTATCATAGATTCACGTCCAAGGGTGCTGGAAGAATGAAATAAAGCAAGCGATTTTTCATAACATTCTAATGCTCTGTCATAGTCCTTCTGCATAAAGTAACAGTCCCCTAGTCTCATGGTCGATTTGGCCACAACATCCATTTGGTTTTCACTTCCATATGCATCTAGGAGGGACAGAGCTTCCCTGTAACAGTGAATGGCTTCCTCTATATTCTCCTCCTCCTCTGCTGTCCTTGAGTTCACAGTGTCAGATTTCCCAGAACTTGAGCTAGAACTCATGTTTTCATCAGAGAGATCCTTTTCAAAAAACTCACAGATTGCTGCAATGGCATCCTCAAACACACCATCATCATTGCTCTTGCCCACACTGTACCCATTTCCTAGTTCTAGTAAAGCAACTGCAATCTCATAGTTGGAAGCATTGTCTTGGAGGTCTCTGTAGGTTTTCAGAGCTGTGTTTAGATATTCAAGTCCTTCTGCTGTCTTGCCTTGTTTTGATTTTATTGTTCCAAGAAATTTACTGATTTTTGCACCAAACCTCAACATCCCTGCTGTTCCATCATGAATCTCTTCAATAATGTTCAACACTTGTTCAAAGAGAACTTCTGCTTTGTCTAAATCCCCTTCTGAAAGCATTTTTTCAGCAAGCCTGGCATAGGATTTTGCCAGGGTATGTTTGATGCTATGCTCATGTAAAGGAGAAATAATTTCCTTCTCTTTCACTTCATTTTCATTTTCTTTGGTTTTTGATATTGCTCTATTTTCAAGTTTTTCAGTGTCATTTTGATTTTGGGAAGCCACTTGCACCACACTTGTAAATTTGCAATTTTTTCTTTCATTTAAGAAGAAATCCCACCCATTCTGTTCCATATCACACTCAGCAACAGCTAAAGCGAAAGTTTGCTCAGTGACTGGGGACTCCTCTGGTTCCTCTGTTTCTAGTTCATCGATTCCCTGAAGGTCACTGTGGTCCCAGTCCAGCGATCCAGCTGAATCCGACACAACACTTTCTGTGTCATCTTCATGTCGCAAACTGTCCACGCGTGATCTTTTCTTGAAAAGTTTATTATAAATGTCTCCCAAATTTTTAGTCTGCAGACGATCATTGCAGTATCTGTAAAACTTTGACAACCAGTCTAATCCTACACTAATGTCATCTACGGTTTCCCTTTTCTCTTTATTTAGTGTGGAAGAGTATTTGTAATTGAGTCCGGGATTGATGTAAAATTGATGACTAGAAGCAAGTGGGAATAACCCAAGTCTGTTTGGCATTGTGGGAGTGTTTGGCAAAGAAAATGATCGAAAAGGATCCATGAACTTCCTGCCCTCGTGTTTCAGGCAGTTGTACAGAGCCCGATTAAAGCTATCCTCCAGGGGCTTACATTTGGTAATCATGGTTTGGCGGTACTCCTGGAACCATTCCACATCCTGATTGTCTGTGGTGGCCTCTATTTCTGAATCACAGATTTCCACAGTGTATTGTAACAGAGCGATGGCGTGCATCACTAACCACTGCCACTCCATCTGATTAGACCGACACATACGACTGCGTCTGACACAGATGTCTGACAGGTTGGACAGACACTGCACCAGGATTCTGGTGTTGTCCTCTGGTTTTTCCTGCATTCTCTGGTATAACCGCAAGAGCTGGTTTTCGGCATCATCCAGTCGTGAGGTGTGGAGCATCTCCAAAGCCACAGAAAGCATACTGTTGAGGGTAGGGGATGCATCATGGCTCATTTCCTCAATCTAAGAAAGAGAGACATGTGGTTAATGAGATGTTTTTACATTAAGTGGATTAAAAGTTTTTACTACTTTAACTAGTTTGAAACACTCCATTTTATTGGGGGGGGGGGGGGGGTCAAAGAACTTTTTTCTTTTAAATTTCTTGAAGAAAAAAATAACAAAATAGGTTAATGATTACCTCTTGGGACTTTTTGCTGAGTAGACTAGTCTCCAGGAGCTCTTTGGGTGATGGGGCAGAGGATCTGGGGCAGGGCGATCGACCAATCAGATTCAACTTGGGCAGAACCAGTTGAGTGGAAGACATTTTGAACATTTTTGGACTCTTGATGGTGGCATCTGAAAATACAAAGATAACAAATCCTTAGGATGCAAAATTATGAATGTCATTTCATCTTTTCATTTGTATATTTTGATTACCGGAAGTTAAATTTGTGACTGAGAGTAATGCCTGCACCATTTTTCTAGAACCTGTAATGCAGCATTACTCTAAAGTAACATCGGTTATAGCAATCATATTTATAATGCATGCTTTTTCTTTCCCCATGATCCTTAAAAGATATTGTGAACTTAACAGATAAAACAATTAAGTTTATGTTTATAGAAATTAATTGTTCATCCCAGAATCTATACACGTTTTACTGTAATTAAATTGTTTGCTTTGTGTGTGAGTCATGTGCTGATAACTATGGAACATTTGGTTAATACTCTAATCATATTGAACAAACAATGGAAATCAATAATAGCTGGGCTATGCATATAAATTAATTTTTTTTTTTTGGAATTTGTTGAAGTTAATTTTTTTTTTCAAATGTGTGTATATATATATGTATTCTTAACCACTATAATAAAACACTGATCATCTTTGCATCATTGGATTTTTCTCTGTTTGCCATACATGATAATAATTTAGCAATTTATATTATTTATGACTCATCCATATTGTACTTGCAGGTGTACAACATAGTCAATATAAAATATTTTCTGTATACCAGGCACATATATTAATGAAACTTTTACACAAGATACAGCATGTAATTTTAACCCCATTCATACACAAATTTGTACAATTCAGGTTTCAAATTGAAAAAAAAGTACCTGGCACTTAAACATGAATATTTTCATCATAGAATCAGAACTACTGCCATTTTAAAAATCTGCAAATTACGTAATGTCTGACATATAATTATGCTGTCTGCATCCCCCTACCTTGGTCCTTTAGTTTTGAGTTGGACAATCTTAGAATACTTGAGGACACCATGACATCCAATATTATCTCACACAAGAATATATAGAATCTTCATGAATAGTTCCACACTGACACATTTGTGTTATAAGGAGCTAGTACAGTTGTGATCTGAGTAATAACTTATTAATTCTTCCTCTTGCTATTGCATCCAGTTTATTGATTTTTGCCAAAGTCTGAACAGAATGCAGCTAATAGAAATTGATTTCCTTTGACTTGACCACTTTTTTCCTGCAACTTAACATTTGCTTGTTCTCTTTTGGGACGCATTAATATCAGTGGAGAGATTCTTATGTGCAAAGATAGTATACGGTTAAAGAATAAAAAAAAAGACACTGCACCTGATCCCACTTCTGATGTTTTAGAGGCCCGTATTTGCACTGCTCCTGATTTATATTGTTAAACAGACTTTGAGCCTAAATACTGTTCATTTTTTCCATATATTTCAATCATTTAGAGATATTAATTGAATATTGTATATTCAGAAAGAGAGAAATTAATCAAAGGTCATGTTATATATTATATATTTATTTGGCATCAATGTTTTCCCATGTGAGCTTTAGTAAAGAGTAATGCACTGGGCTATCTGCACACCTCTTTAATCATTCTATATACTGTAATTCCCACTGGCACATCACAGAGTATATAACTCACACAGACTTGCATACAATGTAGATCTTGCATGTCAGCTTAATTAAACGACATGGGTAATTCTGTTGCAGTCATATACTAAGGTTTAAAAGGGGATCAATTTACCTACATAATGATTAAAATTGATCTTTTTGATAAGAATTGACTTGTTGAAACTGACAATGAGCTACTAAATAATGCTTAAAGAACATATTAAAAGAATAAATATTTGTAAGGTTATGAGGTAATAGAATTATATCATTAATAATCTGTATAAAGCTAAACATAGTTAAGCCAATGAGCTGTTTTGTGAATGGTAGCCAAGAATGTTGTGTAATGTCCAGGTGGTCTATTAACCCTTGGGCTAAGGAGGTGCATGCACTAAAAGTGTGACAAATAAAGTCACTTCTCTATAGCTGTTGGTATACTTCTACAAAAATATTTTTAGTCAGCTTTGTAAGCATCACTTTTTATACATATACATGTAAGATCATGGCCATTTAAAAATCATAAATGTCACTTTGTTTTCTTTTTTCTAAGTTATGAATTCTGTTAATTAATATACATACTGGTACACACCCCCCCACCCCCAAACCTTAAAAAAAAAAATTGGAGAGGAGTGATATAACCAGCATTTGCAAAAATTCCTATATTTTTCTCTTGATATTTAAATTTGCAATGAAGAAAAATCCTATTTATATTTAAAAGGTGGTACGTCATGGGCTTGAATCACATAAGTGCATGTTAAAGTTACTGTTTTGTAATCAAGCAAAAAGATTTAATACAGTGAAACTTTTCTTGTCTGGGAGTTGTGTAATCTGAAATCTTGCCTAATATGATGTCAACTTTAAACCCCTTTCATTAGATTTTATTTCTTTAGGACCTAGTGGTCAAAATATACAGGTTTTACTGTAACTCATTGAAAAATAGTACATCTCCATCATCAGAAGTGTTAAGTGAAGTTTTCTGTCCTGTTTTATCTATGAATACTTAATGCATTAAAATTATTTTTTTCTGCAGTCAGTATGCAATATGATTTTTATGAGTGTGGAAGGAATCGGTCAAAGCAGGAATAGAAGTAAATGGCTTTCATCAGACTTGTAATGTCACCAGCACATACCTGTATCCTCTTTGTTTTTTGACAATTTGTTCCTTGGAGAACCTTTTTCCTTGATAAATGTATTTTTCCCGGTGACCATCTTTAAGAAAATAAGCCCTCTGTTGACCTCCTTCTTCCTCCTGGCCTTGGTGACCTCCTTGTTAAACAACTCCTTCACACTGAAAGGCAGGGTTTTCTTCCTAGGAGTTTTCAAAGGAATGAATTCAAACTTGGTCTTGTTTGAGGAGGGATGTAAAAAGGTGAAGACCTTGACCTGATCTTCCTTTTGTGTATTGGAGGAGGGACTGGTAGGTTTTTCTGCCTCATTTTCAGAGAACAGATTCTCTTTAGGAGTGATTAATGTCTTGAGTAACCTCCATATCATGTCGTTGTCAAAGTCTGCAGCATTGGGTAAACTGATGGCCTCTTTTTTGTTAAGGCTGTGAATTATGTCATATAATTTTTTACGTTGATTAACAAGGCTGGCCTGTTCATGACCTTTGACACACTTTTTGGCCATGGCCTGAAGGCGTTTCTTCTTCAAAATGCATGGGCATGTTCGGGTTCTCTTTTTCCAGGGCACTACCATCATACATGAAGCATCTTCCCCCAGTCCCTCTTCTGAGAGAGGATTTAAAGTTGAATTTGTTCTTTCAGCCATCATTCTTGTAGTTTCAATTTCAGCATCAACAGCTTGAACAGATTTTAAATTGTCCCTTTTCATTGGTTTTTTGTCAATGACAATCACACATTTGTTTTCACCAATGAAAGGCTCTTGATCTTCATCCACTTTTGTCTCATTTTGAACTGGTGTTTCCTCTTGTAGTGAATCAAGGTTGATTACAGTCTTATACTGCTGGCTTTCATCAATGTCTCCCTCATCATCTTGAAATTCCTCTGATGGAACCTCAACAATTTTGACATGAGGCCCCTCCCCTTTCTCTGCCTCTGTTAAGGATTCCTTCAAATTCAGAGAACACTGGAAAGTGTCCCATGTACTGTAGTCTTCTCCTGACGAATCAGTGGCATCCTCGTAAACCGATTCTCCACTGGTACACCCACTCAGATAGCTGTCTGACCACCTACCCAGGGTCTGATCTCTGTCTTCAGCTGGTGCTGGTGTTCCATCCAGAAAAACAGCCTCTTTAGTGGAGTCATCTGTAAATTCATTACAGATCTCTGTGGCTACCAAGGCTATGGGTTGGAACAATTCTGAATCATTAATGACTTCATTTCTCATGATTTCTTCTACTTCATAGTCACCATCTGTTGTCACAGAGTCTGTTTTAGTACAGGATTTAAGTTTTAGATTTTTTAGGAGCTCATGTTTTAGAACTTCGAAATTGCTATTGTCTTCTTTTTGTGGTTGATTTTCATTCTGAGATTCAGGATCTGATTCTGAGAGAATGTTAGAAGTGAGATCTACTGGTGCAATTTCAAAACTCTCCTCTTCATCTGACTCCAAGGAATCACCCAAATTGGAAGATTTTGTTGATGCACTGAAAGATTCCCATTTATCAGGCACCTCATTTGACACCTCAGAGGATGAAGTTTCTTTTGCATTACATGAGGTTGGAGCCATTATTTCTGTATCTTTCTCAGAGTTTAACACAATTACACATACATTCTTTATATCTGGATCATTTTCAACACATTGGGTATTGTTTTCTGGTGTTGTCGTAGTTTGAGTTAGTTCATTGTCAGGTGTTAACATTGCTTTAGATAATTCACTATCAGAACACATGTTTTCAGATGTTGAGGGTTGAACTAAGATGCTAGTTATGTTATTTTCAGGTGTTGATGATTCACTTTGAGATGTAAGGCACTGGTTTTTCATTTCAGGCGAAACATTCTTAGTCAAGGTACTATAAGAATCTGTATTTTTGTCTTTTGGTGACATGGTTTGATTTGATTCTGGTAGTGCCAGTTGTTCCATTGTGGTGGTTGTACACTCTAAAGTATTTTTCACTTGATCTTCACTTGAAGTAGTGCTTTCTACCTCTTCATGTGAACACTTCATTGATGAACTGTCTGATTTGGAAATTTCATTTGAGCTTGTATGCTGAACAGTTGCTTTTGAGCTTTCAGTAGCTATGCTTGCAATCATAGTGGTGTCTTGAGGATCTTCACAAGAAGAATTTGTATTGAGATGTGCTTCTTGAAGTTCATCTGTCAGTTTTTCTTCTGTGTGTAGACCTGAATGTGAACACTCAGTTTGTGTGTCTGTCTGTGAATCATTTGCCTTTTGATTTTCCATGGAATTAAGTTGGTTTGATGGTCTTTCTATATCCAGTTCCAGCTTTTGTGACTTGGAATCAAAGTCATGCATTTGGACAGATTCATTTTTTGTTTTTATTAAGTCTGAGTTACTTACAAGGGTACTGATATCAGGGTTTGTATCACTAACATTGTCTGTAGATTTGGTATCAGGGGCCATTTTATTGTCCACAGCTTTATGTGAAAGATTGCCACAAATTGATTCATTTACTAAAGTTGTCTTAAACATACAAGTAGTGTCATCTCTTTCACATATTGATCCCTCTTTTTCTACCGAGTATGTCTTGGGACTCTCATCATTTTCCCAATCACTGTTTTTTGTTTCTAATGTTAATGTATTTGACAATTCAGCTGTGTTGTTATCTTCAAATAAAATTGTTTTCTCGCTTTGAGCTTCAGTAGAAGAGGCTGAATATTGATCTTCACAAATTGTTTCATTTCCAAGCTGTGAGAAACTATGCTCTTGAGAAATTTCTGTTTTATCCTCATTTTTAGGTGAAGAATTTTCTGGCTTGCACATATCTTCTCCAGCAACCTTACTCATGGGACTTTCAAATGTTCCATTTTCATGTACGTTTATAGAAATAGGGTCATCTTGGTGAAAGGGATTTTCATTTGAAGTAGAAGGCTGATTTTTCTGGGGATATTGCATTTTATTGTCATTTATTCCTTTGTCATTCTCAGACTCAGATATTTCTTCTTCACTCTGCTCCTCCGGTATATCTTGGAGAAGTTCATCAATATCATCATCAAAACTCGGCATACAAAATGTCGCTACTTGAATGTTGTCCCCTTCCTCATCATCTGATAGGAAAAAAGGACTAAAGTTGTTTACATCACGAGATTCAGATGATACCACACTTGGATAAGATTCAATTTCTTGCTCTAGTTGGCCATTTTTTGCTTCTTTTAGGTTGCTAGCATCATCTGTTTCAAGTTTCTCAGTAGAATCTGATTGGTTTTCAGCTTTATTATCTGTACTGAGCTCCGTAGCTGTTCTAGTTTCTTGCACATTTTCATTTTCATTGTCTTCTGTTTTTTCACCATTACCCACAGCTTCAGGAACTTTTTCTTCCTGTGTGTGCTTCTCTTCCATTTGTTCTTTTTCAACACTTTCCTGTTGTTCTTCAATCAGTTCATCTTGATCTTTCACTTGACTAGTTATTTCACTTTGAACACATACACTTTCCCTCAGTTCTTGAGGGGCTACTTTTCCACAACTGTCTTGACTCTGTGAAACACTCCCTGAACCTGGTTCCGATATGATTTCTTGACTAGGAGTAGCTGACTCAGTTGGGAACCTGAATTTATCTTCCACATCTAAAGAAGTATCATTTTGTAATTCCAGATTTTTCTGTTTGATTTTTAGCTTCCGATTAGCTCTTACTACCAAGTAGTCTTTAGCTGACACATTCTCCATGGAGCCTGACCTCCTCAGTCCTACAGGGGGTGGGGAGGGGGTATGGGCAGTAGGTCTGATCTCTATCACAATATTTTCTGACGAATCTTTTCTTTTAAAAGTTTGTAAAGCCTCTCTGGTGTCTTTTTCTTTTTCCTCCTCTTCAGAATCACTTTTACCGATGTTATCCTTGACCTCTGCCATATCCTCATCTAACCTTTGACATGTGGAAAGGTCAGTTGTGAAGCAATCCTCTCTGTGCTCTTCCTCCTCTTGACCCCCTTCTTCAGAACACAACTCTATGTTACTTGCCATTCTTGAATTGTCCAAGAGTATTCAATTTATTACCTTATATTTATGTCAAAGCATCAAATGATTTTTTGCTAGCCAGATTTCCTTCTTGTGCGTAAAATCCCAAAGCAAAAAGCATTTTCTGCACATTATGAACAATTTATGCAGCATTTGCACACACAAGATAAATGTTTGCACCAGGTCAACTCAATTATTTTATTCATCAGATGATTGGATTAAAATCCTCTTGACATTTTTAAACTGAAACTCAATTGGCACATTAATATATCCCGATCTGTTTGCATTGACACTGTAAAAACCATTTATTTTCCAATCAGTCATAACTCATCAATGATCATTATATTTTTTTCTTTAATCCTTTAAAAAGGCTCTTTCATGTGTGAACAATTAAAAATCTCAATAGAAGAAGGAAAAAAGTTCCGAAATAGCAAACCAGTAAGTTAGAAAGGTGTTGTCTTATCACACAAGAAAACCACTGACCCTTTCGCTTCACACATTATTTCCTAATAAGTAAATCCACAGTTTATGGTTGCCTTCAGCCAACTGGTTAATTGCAGCCATTCTTTATCTGTTGACAAATTCTGGCCCCTTGTGTTTATTTCACTTCATGAGTCCTGCATCCATACCCCTGGGCTAAGCTACCTTAACTTAATGCTTACTCCAACATATCCTTTGGTCAACTTTATGACTTCACTTTTCTGTTTGACAAATAGCCAACCTCATTTAAATCAGGTAAAGAAATGGATTTATGAATTACCCAACCCTTAGAAAGTAAACGTATTCATGGATTAAAAGTTCATTGATATTTCTCAAGCTCATATATTTGTCCCTGTTTACAGATTCCAGTTTTATGCATGTGATAAATATCTTATAAAGTTTTGATTGATGGGATAAAACTTCACTTGTCATGCCCAAACTCTTTTATCTAAATCATTAAACTTTTCTTTAAAATATATACCAGGGTAAATGCACTAGTATAATTAGTTGTATCTAAATGTATCATCTTTAGTTTCGTTTACGACTGATTTCAAAGTTATATCCCAGTATCTGAAATATAATAGCTTAATTCAATTCAAAATGATACAAAATTAAATTACTAGTACTTAAAGTAAATGAATACAAAGTAAATTTATTTCAGCAATTTATATCTACAGTGCCGGATCTAGACAGGGGTTATGGGGGTTGCAACACCCCTCCCCCCACCCTATTTTTGGATTTACTAAAAAGAGAGAGAGAGAAAAAAGAGAATCCCAAATTTTTGTTGTGTTTTAACATAGAAAATGTTCAGTGAATGGCTAATGTAGTAATATATCAAAGAATTCATATTGTGAAAACAAAATTCAAAATAACCCCCCTTTCCCCTTTAACAAAATAGGATTTTTGGGTTTGGTAATTATACTACATCCATGTATCCTATTTAGTTAAACGACATTATAACAAGACTTCTCCTCCCCCTTTCCCTTCAACATCACCTTGGATAAACTGATGCAAGGATATTGCTAATAAAATCTTGTCAAACAAAATAAACTAAAGTCATCCAGATATAGTGTTTTTTAAGAAGTCTCTTCTTGTATAATTGTTATAAATTCCACAAGTATAGAAAATAAATTCCATCAGAATACAAACCATCGAAGTACAATTAATTAATCTATAATACCACAAAGAACTATATGCGGTATATTGCATATATTTGCCCCCACAAAAGTCAAATTTTGAAAACTTCCTGAAATGTATTGAATTCAATAAATTGTATGTGAAAAATAAATTAACATAAAATATTATAGAGTCAAAGCAGTGTATTCAAATTTTTGTTTTTATGACATCACAAACTAGTCCAATTTTATATCCTTTTTCAGAAAGAGGACAAAATGGACAAAATTTGAACAATTTTAGCTTTAAAATTTATAGAGGGCAAGTTTGTTCAGGAACAATATTGACATATTTCATTGATATTATCATTCTACACATTATATCAAAATATTGATCCTGAACACACATGCGCTAACTTTTATCAAAATATCGATGAAATATGTACATTTTTCTGTAAAATTCATAAAAAACTAAAATTTACGTCATGTTTGTGACGTCATTACGTATATATGGCGTCATTACTTATGAAAATATTCAGTGCTTTGTTCTGAAAAAAGTCTCCTCTTGACAATAAATTTAAAATATTGGATTGCGTAGATTTTTTCTCCCACTATGCTGGCACCTAAAAAGTAAAGCTATCATTTCATTAAGAGGAATTAAAAGGATGATGGAATTTAAAGTTAAAGGGAGATAACTTGTTATTACTAATGTATTTCAATGGCTCTGAAAATTCTGAAAACTTTTGGTGCATTTTAATGATACAATATACTCATGAGACATTGCATTATTTTCTTTTGTACACTTTCTTTCCCCCTGTAACATCTATTCAAGAGTGATGATACACTCTCTCCTCTTAAGAGGAGAGGAGCAGCCCCCCCCCCCCAAGAAAGCCTTAATTTTTTTTTTACAAATATATAAGGACATGAATGCTATAAGGACATGGAAAGAACAAGTATTGACAATGACCAGCATTTAGGATTTTAATCTCCTGGGAAAACATTAACTAGCTCAATTTAAAACTTTGAACTCCATAAGGAATATCAAGGAGTGGGATATAAGACCGTTAGCTTTAAACACGAACCAAATTATCCTAAATTTATCTCATTCATCCTATACCTACTCTTGCTCTCCTCAGTACATTTTGCTCATTTTAACCTATACAGAATGTTAGCATTTTTTGCTTTCTAATATAAAAGGTAAATGAAACCATCGAACAGATATCAAATACATGCAACAAGTGGCAATAATATGATAATTAGAAACTTTGTTCACGGAAATATTGTCAATGTTTGTTGTCATCACCTTAAAAATATTGAGTGGGAAGACAGACTTGTTTATTGATAAATTATGCACCTATCTATTTATGAAACAGGTTTTTCTAGTTAATGTTCTGCACTATATCTTTGATTCCATGTTTTATGTGAAACCCATCCATTGTGAAGACTTGATTTTAGATTCAGACTCCTATACGCACATACATTCAAGGAGGATCATGTATCAAAAATGCTTATGTAATATACTGTTTTAAATAAAGAGCCAGTCAAGTGTATTTTCCTTTCAAAATAGGGTTATAATAATATTTGAATGCAAGTGGAACACATAAATTAGTACATGATCACAATCTAATGCATTTTGATCCTTCAATAATTTCAAATTGTTCTATAAAATTCTTGACAGTAACATGTATAGAAAAATAGAATACCTGCTTGTTATCAAGGTAAATTTTAAAAAAAACATCGCTATCATTATCAATCAGATAAAAATAGAAAAAGGAATATATGGTATTTGCCAGATAATGATGGATTTGACTTGATAATCTTTTGAATTACCTTGTGTGGGTTGGAAGTATTTCAGTCTATAATCTTGACTGGTCAGTTGTTCGTGGCTGGACAGTTCCATAATAGATGTCTCATTCACAAATCTTCATTTTATCTCCAAAGAAAAACATCTCCTACAACACACTCCATATACTACACATTTGTAAAAATTATGCGGGCTTCTCAGAAAATGGCTTCCAGCTATCTTGTACAAGATAAATAATGAGCTGACTTCGCAATAGTCCCTTTAAATTAAAAGACATGCTGCACCTGTTTTTTTAACAACAGTTAATTCCTTGATTACACCCACTGCATTTGCTGAATGACTGTAGAAGGAATGTTTTTGACGGTTCATTTAGTTTGAGGTCAAAATCAATTGTCTGCAGAGTCAAGGCCCACAACTCTTACTTAATCCCTCAGCTGTGTACATCATTGATTGGGTTTTATTTGTAGAAGACTACAATGTATTGAACATGCTGTATGATTAAATTACACAACTCTACATTAAGCCCTACTATCTACATTTAATAGTACTGTACCAGATAAAATGAAGAATAGTTACATAAAAAAGGTCACTTACCAATACTTAAACCTGGCCTCAGGGCCACTATAGTATAAAAAATTTTAGCCTGAACACTAACTTTTGAACCAAGATTTTACATCCAAGTCCAAACCATTATACATTTTTCAATAAATAATTCTTTGAAAGTTGTAATTCTTGCAGAAGTTAATAAGACAGGACTCAGACTTGTAAACTGACATTCTGGCCTTTGAAAGACCAGGATTTTGTACATAAGAAAGTAAACAGTACATGTATTTCATTTTGAAATTCCTATATATTGTGCCTTAGCCATCTTTTGTATAGCTTACACCAAATCTAAAGATCAGAAATTGCTCTCTCTTTCTCATGCTGTTAGGATGAAAAATTGCTCTCTCTCTCTGCTGTAAGGATGAAAAATTGCTCTCTCTCTCTCTCTCTCTCATGCTATGAGGATGAAAAATTGCTCTCTCTCTCTCTCTCATGCAGGAAGGATGAAAAATTGCTCGCTCTCTCTCTCTCTCATGCTGTAAGGATGAAAAATAAATTGCTCTCTCTCTCTCTCTCATGCTGTTTGTTTTCCTTCACAAAATACAGGTAATTTAGGAATCCAGTAATGAAAATTTTTGTAAATTAACTCACCAAGTTTCTTAATGGCACTTACATTCATTCTCCATGGTGAATAAAATGAACATTAATTATCAATTTGCAATTTTTTTTTATTTACCCATTTTTGAAATAACATTTTTACATTAATAACATGTTTTATACCCCTTTTCTAGAATATAATATAATACAGTTATTCTCATAATTTGTAATTACATCCAAAAAGATATATTGTAAAGGATTTGAAAGAAAAGATTTATGTACAGTTAATCAATGATCAAACTTTAAGGTGTCATACCCAACTCCTAAAACATGTATATACAAATGTGATGAAGACTTCTAGAAAGTTTAACTGCCTTTTTGCTGGAAATTAATCTTAGACAGACATGCAATAAAATAGCTACATTGTACAATAATATTACAGTCTTTTTAGCTGAACATAACGTGCATAATTACAATGTGTTTATCATGGTGTGCACTCTTGAACATTAAAATATTGCACAAAAATGTTTAGTTTTCAATGTGAAAACTTAATAATGGTTAAAATCTTCACTGGTCATAGTGAATCAAAATGATGAAGAGCACCCCCCCCTTCCTACTTTCTCCCCAAAGAATGGAGATTTTACATCAAGGTAATGCACATGTTCTGATGGAATCAGAATAAAGCAGTCTTTATCGTAATTTAATAGAGGTATTCTTTTTTCTGCAACTACCCCCACCCCCAACACAAATAAAACAGATATTATAAATTTTATATATGGTTTTGGCATTAATATTCATAAAATCAGTAATAATAAAATATTACAAACATTTTTAGAAAAAATTAATGTTTCAAGGGGCAAAATTTAAAATGCTTTCTGAAAATAGAAAAATAAAATTGGAAAAATCCTCTATCATAAAGAAAGAACAATAGACAAAATGACATGAAGAAAATGTTCATTAACATCTCTGTATAATGAGTAATGATTATTGAATAAGATATAAATGAAAATAACAAATGCATTATGTAGTTAAAAATATTTTTAAAATGGTAAAATTTCAACAATTATGAGTATATAGAATTGTTAAAAAATATACAATGTATAACAGTAATGCAGTATGGTACAACTATTGCACTTTATATAAATGTTTGGTTAAATAGAACAGATATGTACATAATTGCACTTTGTCAATTAAACAAGTTGTTTCTATTTTAACACATGTATAATTAAATTTGTCCCATTTCTACTACATCCTCTGTATTAAATGTATTCATGGTGTAGACCAAACTTTTTGGACGTGCCCATATTTTTTCCAGTTTTTGAATTTTTGATGCATCGTACGCCTCCCATGCTGTGACTTCAGAATATTTAGAATCTGCTTTAATGACAGAGAATATCAGGTCCCCCACGGTGACAAGTTTCTCCACTGCGTGGGCTATGTGCTGTTTATCACAGTGACTGTGCATGACAGCCATCACACAACCATGTTGACATTGAGATGCTGATTTGATGTTGATGATTAAGATGTCCCCACTGGATCTGCCCACCCATAAAGAGTCTCCCACCCCCACCACTGAATTGACGAGAGGGTGGCGACTCCTGGGTGCCACTGGACTCTGTGGGGTGGGGCTCTTAGAGGTGGGGCTGGTCCTGGCGGGGAGGGTCTGAGATTTGCCACTAATGGTGGGGTGCCTCGGAGGCAGGGGTGGGGAAAAGGGTTGACGGCGGGAGGAACTGATCGAATAGCTTCTCTCAGGAACTGGAGGGGGTGGGCCCTCATCACCGTCTGGATTTTTAGCTGCATCTTCATCAAACCATTTATCAAACTCCCCAGAGGAGATATTGTCACCGGAACAAGAAGAATCAGACATTCTTCGGGATATCGGCCTGGCTTGTACATTGACCGTATTGCCAGAAATGTATTTAGAAACAACCATTCGGTGGGGATTAATCTGATCACATTTCAGAATGTGTGTCAAAATGCCCATTTCTGTATCAAATTCCAGAATCTCACTACTGTTGGCAAGAAGAGCCCATACCCTGAAGTCCATGTGTACAAGCTTTGCAACGTCGGGTAATTTATTTTCCAGTAAGGCTTGGCAGTCTTTGTTTATCTCAATCCGTCTCTCAATCATTTCAGTCTTACTGCTCACTATCACAATTTCATTTCCACAACCACACCACATTTCCTCTGTCTCCTCCACATAAACCATGCAGGAGGCGGTCCTCTTGGACAACCTGAGGGTCTTCTTGAGGTGCCAGTTAAACTGGTGCCTCATGTTCACCTCCTCGCCTTCTATTACCTCTGGTTTCTTGATATGGTGGTACAGTTTAAGCTGACCATCTCCTAATAAGATGTACACTCTCTTGATGCTCTGAAAATGAAAGAAAAATTGAGGGTAACAGTAACAACTGAAAAATACAATGGCTACCAACAAAATCCTGCCCATTTACTTTACACTAGATAATTTCTATAATCTAATTCAAAATTCACAAATTATAATTAATATGAAAATTTTCCTAATTTTTTATCTCCTGTAGCCATTTGCATGGAATCACATAAAAAAGCTGTCAATAAGGAAGGTCAAATTGCCAAAATACAAACAGTAAAGCATGCTTTTAATGACCATACATATACTGAATACCTGATTACAATGAAAGTCTAATTTTTTGAATATCATTATTTTCAAAGAAGTATTTAGATAAATGTGTATTTACTTATGGAATGTAACAAACACAACACAGCATTATTAGCTACCCTTAGCAGCTTTTTTTTTTTTTTAAAGTCTATCTTACACAATTTAGTCTGAATACTTTCTTTTGAATTCTAGCACTCACCGAGTCAGGTTCCTTGACAAACTCTATACATGTAGGAGTGGCTCCTAAGTTGTCAATTTTCTTTAAGGATGATGGATGTCCAACTCCCTGCTGTCCAAAAACTTCTATTTGTTCATCCTAAAAACAAAGCCACCAAATGTCAGAATAACCTGTGTAATTCAACCCCCTCCCCCTCAGATACAATGTTACAGTAACTTTTAATTAACAAGAGATGTTTGTAAAACACTTATGCTAAATTGGATTTTTCCGTGCATACTTTTAATGGTAAAAAATTCTTTTGTAAAAATCTGTATACTAAATTTTATTTCATAAACCTCTATGATAACTGCAAATAATTGGAATTTTTCTAAGTTAACCCTGACAAAAAGGTTGTGAAGGAAAATTGTTTACAGTAAAACATCTATACTAAATTTCATTTGAATATGTGCAACCTCTGCAAAGAAAATGTGGAAACGGCAAATAAGTGGAATTTTTATAAGTCCAACATACATGTACATGTACCTGAGTACTGTAGCTTAGAAAAAGTAGAAATTGGTTTATTATTGAAAAGTTAAAATCCAAAAGTAATCCCATGATCAATCATGGATTTGCAGAATTTTCCCATATATTTCTATGGTGACAAACCTACACTACCTGAAGATGCTTCCATATAAATATGATGAATAATGGCTATGTCATTCTTGAGAAGAAGATTTTTAAAGAATTTTCCTATATATTTCTATGTAAAACTTTGGTTTTTGGCCACGCCCCACCCCCGGGGGTCGATATTGAACAAATTTGAATCTTCACTACCTGAGGATGCTTCCATATAAATTTGATGAATTATGGCTCTGTCATTCTTGGAAGAAGATATTTAAAGAATTTTCATATATTTCTATGTAAAACTTTGGTCGGCCATTTTGGCAGTGGTTTGAATCCACTACCTAGGATGCTTGATAAATTTGATGACACACATTTTTAAAGAATTTTCCTATATATTTTTATGTAAAACTTTGGCATCTAGAATGTCTACACTACCTAAGGATGCTTCCATATAAATTTGATGAATTATGGCTCTGTCATTCTTGAGAAGAAAATTTTTAAAGAATTTTCCTATATATTTCTATGTAAAACTTTGCTTTTGGCCCCTCCCTACCCCATGAATCCACACCTGTTTCATCTTTCCTGGCACAGTGGTTCTTGAGAAGAAGATTTTTAAAACATGCCACCTAATTTCATTAATTCATCATGAGGGCTTCAAAAGAAACACAAGGATGCTTTGTGGCAAGTTTGGTTGAAATTGGCCCAATTATTTAAAAGACCGAATTTTGAATTCCATAGCAAAATGTAGATATTCAGCTGAAACATCTGTATACTAAATTTCATTTCAGTATGTGCAACCTCTGCAAAGAAAATGAACGGAAACTGCAAATAATGGAATTTTTCTAAGTCCAAGGGGCATAACTTTTCAACAAGAGGTGCTCACCTGAGCACTGTTTTGGTTTATACTTGAAAAGCTTAAATCCAAAAGTATTTTTCATGGCTTTGCTATTCTTAAGAAGAAGATTTTTAAAGAATTTTCCTATACATTTCTATGTAAAAATTTGGTCGGCCATTTTGGCCCCGCCCTACCCCTGCGGGTCATGATTTGAACAAACTTGAATCTACACTACCTGAGGATGCTTTGATATAAATATGATCAATTATGGCTTTGCTATTCTTGAGAAGAAGATTTTTAAAGAATTTTCCTATATATTTCTATGTAAAACTTTGGTCGGCCATTTTGGCCCCGCCCTACCCCTGGGGGTCATGATTTGAAAACTTGACACAAGGATGCTTCCGTATAAATATGATCAATTATGGCTATGCGATTTTTAAAGAATTTTCCTATACATTTCTATGTAAAATTTTGGTCCGCCATTTTGGCCCCGCCCTACCCCTGGGGGTCATGATTTGAACAAACTTGAATCTACACTACCTGAGCATGCTTCCATATAAATATGATCAATTATGGCTTTGTCATTCTTGAGAAGAAGATTTTTAAAGAATTTTCCTATACATTTCTATGTAAAACTTTGGTCGGCCATTTTGGCCCCGCCCTACCCCCTGGGGTCATGATTTGAACAAACTTGAATCTACACTACCTATATAAATATGATGAATTATGGCTTTGTCATTCTTGAGAAGAAGATTTTCAAAGAATTTTCCTATATATTTCTATGTAAAACTTTGGTTTTTGGCCCCGCCCTGTCATGATTTGAACAAACTTGAATCACACACCTGAGGATGTTTCCTTATAAGTTTCATCTTTCCTGGCACAGTGGTTCTTGAGAAGAAGATTTTTAAAATATGCCACCAAATTTTCATTAATTCCCACTCCCCTTGAATGAGGGCGTGGCCCTTCATTTGAACAAACTTGAATCCCCTTCACCCAAGGATACTTTGTGGCAAGTTTGGTTGAAATTGGCCCAGCGGTTCTTGAGAAGAACTCGAAAATGTGAAAAGTTTACAGACAGACAGACGGACAGACAGACAGACAGACAGACAGACAGACGGACGCCGGACAAAATGTGATCAGAAAAGCTCACTTGAGCCTTCAGCTCAGGTGAGCTAAAAATGGTGTGATCGTACCCAAAACAGAACTTGACCTAGATATTTACCTGATAAACCTGTATACCAAATTTCATTTCAGTATATGCAGCGGTTGTAAAGAAAATGAACGGAAACTAAATGGACCGACAGACCGACCGACCGACAGACCAACCGACAGACCGACGGACAGCAGCAAAGCAATATGCCCTCCCTTCTTCGAAGGGGGGCATAAAAATTTCATTTGTACTAAACTCTATATAAAATAGGTCTAAGTTTGAGTTTGAAGGAAAATTGTTTACAGTAAAACATCTTGAGTAACTGTCAAATTATTTACCAACATACATGTACATGTAGTTTACGGTGTACACGAAAAAATCAGAATGGTGACAAACCTCGGTACCAATCCACATCTGTTTACCGATCTTCTCCATACAGGTTACTGCAGCACCAGGCAGTGGTTTCCTGTAGGCCTGATAGACACACATGGTGGCATCCAGGATGTGGTAACAGCGGTCGTCTCCGCTCCCCTCCCAAATCCACACCTGTTGTTTCCCATCATCATCATGCTGAAAAGAAACACAAACTAACCAATTGTAAAAGACCCAATTTTGAATTCCACACAAAATGTGCTGAAAATAAGTATATGTAAAATACATGTTTATGTGTTTTCAAGTGTCTGTTTCATGCACAATTTTTCAGCATTTTTTGCTGTGGAATTCACAGTATGCATGAAAACCACTGAAATCAGGCATGTTTTATGTTTGTATTTTTTAAATAAACACAATGACCTTTTTCAATAAAATTAATTGTTGCTATCTGACCTTGACCAGACATAAAAGTTTACCTTCACCTTACAAATATTTGAAGATCCTGTCTTATATAGTTTTTGTTTAGTTTTACCCCATTCTTAATTGTTGTAAGTTTATGCACGCACCTCAGTTATTGCTGTAACATGATCCACCTCCTCCAGTTCTCTGGGGAAGTGTTTGTGCTGAGCCAGGAAGTCTGCTGACATCATATAGTTAGTGGTCAGGATCTCCCGCGCACTCGGGCGTTTAGTGGCATCCTGGTTCCAACACAGTTGCATCAGACGCTCCATCATTGGGAAACGAGGGTCTATGTTAAAGTCCTGAAAAAAAAATTTGGTTAAGTTCATGGCGATATGAACCCAAACATCTCAAGACCCACTCATAAAAAATGTGCATAAAATATGTGAGAAATTTTGAAATGTTTACACTCTTTTAAAGTTTTCCAAAAAAAAAAGTTATTCTTTAATCTTTATATTTACATTTTAAAACTTAGTCAATTTTCACACTGTTTGTGCCTCTGCCACTGGTCCACCAGTGGCAGAGGGTTTTTTCTTTTTTTTTCCAAATCACTTTTTTTTTTGGCCAAATGAATAATAAAAATTCAGTTGTCTACCTGAAGGTTTGGTCTTTTGGCCTCCATTTTCATGGCCCTTGATATCTGTGCCATATTCTTGTATTCACAGTATGGCCTCTCACCAGACAAAATCTCATATAAAACCATTGAAAAGGAGAACAGGTCCACCTAAAATCATGACAACATAAAGGTACTTTATTTTATGTCATGTCATGACAACAAAAGGTACATTAATTTATGACACATACAATGAAATAAAGTATGTTAATCCATATATACATTTGTGGTATCTCTCCATTATATAAACATACAGAGAGAAAATATCTTCAATTCTGTATGAAGTTTGTCAGAGGTCAGAGGTCAGTACGTGACCTAATCACACGGCGCAATAATATCTACCGGTACATAAATTATCAAATGACCTGCTCTACTTGCTTTTCCTGTATAAAAATGAACGAATAAGCAAGTAAAATGATAATTATTTTATTTACAGTGTAAACAAGTATTCCATATAGTTTTTTGGCTATCGATTTAACCCGTGTACATAGAGAAAACTAACGCTTGTTTACATTTTTTTTTCACTTTTGTCAGCTGCACAGTCTGTAACGTTCATCCTTATTTTTTGGGTAGACCTTTGGTTAAATTTTCAAGAAAAACTATCATTTTATCTTTAAATTCTACTCACATCTTTTGGAAAATATCATTGCAATCATGCCATGAACAGCTGCCAAACACCTAGGCGTTTTCGTAGTTCAATGTGTGTTTTATCAATGTTTTACGAAAAGTAGGCTATACCTTTAGTTACTGAAATTGTACAATGTTTTGATCAAATTGCAAATTAATTGGCTCGGACAAGTGTCTCAATCATTTTCCATCCCTTCCTGGTGCCTCTGGATTCCTCCAACTTTTTATCATCAAACTTCTGACGTGTTTCTTTTGTCTTTTCAGCATCGATTATCAATTTTCACTAAAAATACTCCCAACAACAATCTGTTCACTATTACTGATCACAAGTACCCTTTCACAAAATATTTATGTAAATGAATTTGAAGCGTAACAGCCATGCAAGCCGATTTACACCTTGCGTCATTTTTCAAAATCTACGACGGACGGTTAGTGCAATAATTTAAATTCGAAAATATGCAATTGTCTCAAATGTATATATAAGTAATAAATGCAAGTATAAACTCATACAATATTCAAATCTATTCCTTCACAGGATTTGATCCTGGCTTACATTAAAAATCAACACATTATTTCTTAATTGCAATAATCCAAACACTTTCTAACAAGGCAAAAGAAAACTAAAAGCAGTGAAAACTTTAACCTACCTTTTCATCATAAGCCAGTCCATCCATGATCTCCGGACATAACCAAAAAAATAATTCAGTTTGACATTTTCTGCAAAACTTGACCAATTTTACAACATAATGATGTCATGTTTATGTAAGTACATCAACAATGGTCATGATAGTGTGGTTAATTCTGTAGTCCATTACTGGCTTACTTTACCAAATCAACAGGATTAGGAACAAATGAAAAATGATCATAATGAAAAATGCAAAAAAAAAAATAAAAAGAACGAAAGATAGAAAAAAGTGATCCAGCAATTTAACAACATAATGCATCTTGACATGGAAATCTACAATATTTGGTAAATCAATGACCAAAGAAGCAAAAACTAGCCAAATCCTCCTGACCTTTTTTTGTAATAAAGACATTGTTTTCACCTGATGAACAAGTTTGAAGTTGGTTTCCTTGTTGAACACCGGCCAGAACACCTTGTCCTTATCTCTGTATTTGTTGAAGGGTTCTCTCCCTTCTATCTCCTTATCCAACACCCTCCTTAGGCTTCCCAGGGGAGCTAATTCCAGACACATCAGAAGATCTGGTCGGATGGAAATGCCAATCAGGGAGACAATGCAAGGATGGTCCAACTTGCTTGTGACGTCAGCTTCTTGTCTCATTTCCATAAATGCCCGGAATGCCTACAAGAATATGTGGTTCCTGATCAGTGGGAAACAAAAAAAGTCATGATTTTGTACAAGGATGAATTGAAAAACTACAGGAATTTTGAATAAATTTTATCAAACTTAGGTGTATGATGAAGTCCCCCATACCTTAATACTGCTAACTTCATCACTGTCTAAATGCATCTGTAAAGCATTCACATAATCCTCTTCTTCATCATAGTCATCTTCAGTGGTCTGCACTGGCTTATTCCTCTCCACACTGGATATGTTACCAGAGTAATAACTGCTGTCTAGCGAGTGTTTCCCAGACATTGTGGGGGCTCCGTGATAATACTTCACAGCGACTTCCACATCTCCATATTTACCCTTGAAAACTGACCCCGTGACCCCTGACCCTAGATAAGCCTTTTTATTGGATGGATCCACCTGGAGTTTATCTGGATCAAGCAGGAATTTTTTGGGTAGTTCCTGCATCAGTAGCTCTGGGACCAGTTGACTGAGGGGGACCTTGGAGCCCCTCCTACAAACAGCACTGTCCCCTGATAGAAGTAGCCTGGCACAGTGCTCCACCGTGAAGTGGTCTAGGTTAGATGAGAGTACAGTGGAGGTGATGGTGTAACAAACAGGGCAGACGGCAAATCTCTGTATTCTTGGTCTCCCCATCATGTCATAATCCATCAAACCTGAGTGTAGAATAACAATTAAAGTGTTTTGCAACATTTGATTGATAATCCATGAGTAATCGTTTTTTGAGACATGTGCTGAAGTAAATAATTTTTCTTGTTTTATTACCTGGGTAGTGATCACTGAGGAGGTCCTCCACCGCGTCTACAATCATCCCCATTATAGAGTAGTCCTCCTCCACTGACTGGACAGTGATGAGGATCCCGTGGGTCGTGTACCCCTCCTTCTGTGTCACCTGGATAGATTCCAGCATGAAGTGCCCCTTCTCGTGCCTCAGGAACATCCCGTCCTCCCAGTATATCATGTCCTTATTGCTTATCTTCAAGCCCTTGCTGTAGAAACAATTTCATGATAAGGAAATCCTCAACTGGTGATTAGTTTGATTCATAATCAAAATTAGACTGCTAAATCAATAACTTCCTTTCATTTGTAGAATTGTGTATTTTGAAGAAAAAAAATCTAATTGAAATAATGCACGTGAAATCTTGCAGCATAAATACTATGAAATATACTTACCCTCCAGTGAGGCTAGCTTTAGAATTGAACCTGTAGAGGGATTTCCCGGGTTTCATTCTGACAGAGGACCTGAGGACCCAGTCATTGGCCAGGAGTTCAATTCTACACATGATCCTAGACAGCAGCCTGCTCCACAGTCCGTTAGGGATGAAGGCCAGCTGGTACAGACGGAACACTCGCTTACCGTCCCGACCATGAAACTGGAGGTCCATTCCAGGGTTAGGGTGAAGATGAGAGGGGATGAATAACCTGGAATTTTGAATTTGTGTTTAATTTGTCAGTATTCTCAATTTAAAATTTATTGTATAAACTAATTATTACTTTTTTTTAATGCCTGTAGTTTATGTCTGTACAGTGTATATTATTTTGCCTTTGGTATTTTATAAGGTACACAACTGTGTCCCCACTGGATGCAAAGTCTTGTTTTCAAATTTTCAAACTGGGACTGATCTTCTATGATAAGACTGATCCTCTATGATGGGACTGATCTTCTATGATGAAGTCAATATTTCAGTTTGGTCTTTCTAATACTCCCCCTAACCCAACTTTAATGGTGAGAACATTTGTATGTGTTCCTTCTCAAAGAATATATGACAAGCATTCAAAGGAAAAAGTTTTTTCAAAGAATCTGTCCAGTGAACTAATCCACTCTTGTGTGTGTTTGCTTTATAATGGATTTGATCACAAATGCGGCACAATATTCTAGTGCAACATAAATTTACTCTAAAATAATTACAAATTTAAAATATTCTGTCAAACTGATTACACTCAAACATCACTTTGTACAAGACACTGTCTCACACTAATCTGAATTCTCTCTTAAAACCATGTCGTGAATGTACTTTATTTCAAGTAGAAAACACTTACTTTTTATCTGACTCCACTTTGAGAGCGATTTCAAATTGTTCCAGCAGTTGTATGTATTGAGGGACGTTCTCGTTAGGAAATCTGGAATCCTTTAGATACATATCCTGTACTGTAGACAGGGGGATCTTACCTCCCTTCATAGAGCGAACCAATGCCTAAAATAATGCAGGGGAAATCTCAGTAAAACACTTTTATCAGAAAGTGCCAGGAAGGGACAATTTTGCTTTTTTATAAACATTATTCATTATAGCTTCGTTCATTAGCTTCACAATATGTTTAAAACCCACTTGGACTGAAATTCACTGGCTTTAAGCATCAATTCATTATTATAAGCATGTTAGCTCTAAGTGTGTTTTAATGTAGGCTTGAGCAATCAGTACAGCAATGGAGAAAGGAAAATACATTAATGTATGTCCTGAGTTAAGATAAATTGATTTTATCCTACAACTTACCGAGTCCATAAGAACCTGTGACAGAACATCACACAACCAGGTCGGGTCCAGATAATAGAAGTTGTTTAGTCCCTGTAGCTGTTCATTGAAATGTAACATTGCTCCAGATGTGACCAGGAATTTCACAACTAAAACATAATTAGAGAGTTTTACATTATTTCTTCACTACAGTAAAACAGACACTTTTAGTCATTTGGAGGTCCTCACCACTTTTTAGCTCACCTGAGCCGAAGGCTCAAGTGAGCTTTTCTGATCACAATTTGTCCGTCGTCCGTCCGTCTGTCTGTCCTTCTGTTTGTCTGTCTGTCCGTCCGTCCGTCTTTAAACTTTTCACATTTTCGACTTCTTCTCAAGAACCAATAGGCCAATTTTAAACAAACTTGGTACAAAGCATCCTTGGGTGAAGGGGAGTTTAAATTGTTAAAACGAAGGGCCAAGTCCCCTTACAAGGGGAGATAATCAAGAAAAAACAAAAATAGGGTGGGGTCACTAAAAAATCTTCTTCTCAAGAACCACTGGGCCAGGAAAGCTGAAACTTATGTGGAAGCATCCTTGGGTAGTGTAGATATTAAATTGTTAAAATCATGACCCCCGGGGGTAGGGCGGGGCCACAATAGGGTATCCAAGTTTTACATAGAAATATATAGAACAAATCTTTAAAAATCTTCTTCTCAAGAGCTTCTGGGCCAGGAAAACTGAAACTTATATGGAAGCATCCTTGGGTAGCGTAGATATTAAATTGTTAAACTCATGATTCCCAGGGGTTGGACGGGGCCACAATAGGGAATCCAAGTTTTACATAGAAATATATAGAACAAATCTTTAAAAATCTTCTTCTCAAGAACCACTGGGCCAGGAAAGCTGAAACTTATGTGGAAGCATCCTTGGGTAATGTAGATATTGAATTGTTAAAATCATGACCCCCAGGGTTTGTACAGGGCCACAATAGGGAATCCAAGTTTTACATAGAAATATATAGAACAAATACTTAAAAATCTTCTTCTCAAGAACCACTGGGCCAGGAAAGCTGAAACTTATATGGAAGCATCCTTGGGTAGTGTAGATATTAGATTGTTAAAATCATGACCCCCAGGGTTTGGACAGGGCCACAATATTGAATCCAAGTTTTACATAGAAATATATAGAACAAATCTTTAAAAATCTTCTTCTCAAGAACCACTGGGCCAGGAAAGCTGAAACTTATGTGGAAGCATCCTTGGGTAATGTAGATATTGAATTGTTAAAATCATGACCCCTGGGGGTAGGGCGGGGCCACAATAGGGAATCCAAGTTTTACATAGAAATATATAGAACAAATCTTTAAAAATCTTCTTCTCAAGAACCACTTGGCCAGGAAAGCTGAAACTTATGTGGAAGCATCCTTGGGTAGTGTAGATATTAAATTGTTAAATTCATGACCCCCGGGGGTAGGGCGGGGCCACAATAGGGAATCCAAGTTTTACATAGAAATATATAGAACAAATCTTTAAAAATCTTCTTCTCAAGAACCACTGGGCCAGGAAAGCTGAAACTTATGTGGAAGCATCCTTGGGTAGTGTAGATATTAAATTGTTAAAATCATGACCCCTGGGGGTAGGGCGGGGCCACAATAGGGAATCCAAGTTTTACATAGAAATATATAGAACAAATCTTTAAAAATCTTCTCCTTAGAAACCACTGGGCCAGGAAAGCTGTAACTTATGTGGAAGCTTCCTTGGGAAGTGTAGATATTAAATTGTTAAAATCATGACCCCCGGAGGTAGGGCGGGGCCACAATAGGGAATCCAAGTTTTACATAGAAATATATAGAACAAATCTTTAAAAATCTTCTTCTCAAGAACCACAGGGCCAGGAAAGCTGAAACTTATGTGGAAGCTTCCTTGGGAAGTGTAGATATTAAATTGTTAAAATCATGACCCCCGGGGGTAGGGCGGGGCCACAATAGGGTATCCAAGTTTTACATAGAAATATATAGAACAAATCTTTAAAAATCTTCTTCTCAAGAACCACAGGGCCAGGAAAGCTGAAACTTATGTGGAAGCATCATGGGGTAGTGCAAATATTAAATTAGTAAAAAATCATGATCCCTGGGGGTAGGGCGGGCCACAATAGGGAATTCCAAGTTTTACATAGAAAAATATAGAACAAATCTTTAAAAATCTTCTTCTCAAGAACCATTGGGCCAGGAAAGTTGAAACTTATGTGCAAGCATCCTTGAGTAGTGTAGATTCTAAAGTTTTAAAATAAAAAAGGGAAGGGGGTAGTTGGGCATGATAGGTAATAGCAAGAGGGGGAATCTGGTAAAGATCTGCATCACCAGTTACTCAGGTGAGCGATGTGGCCCATGGGCCTCTTGTTCTCCCTTGTTATCTCAAACCTTTGATATCTCAAAGATTTCCTTGGTCCAGGTAAGTTCAAGATATAGATGATATCTAAATTGTGTGATTTGATATTGGCTTTATCCAACGAGTTGAAATAGTGTATATATCCGCGAGGCTTGCCGAGGCTTTCAACGAGTTGGATAAAGCCAATATCAAATCACACAATTATAGATGTTCTATTTATCTCATACGACTTTTGTTTTAACAAAACTTTGAGACTTCCCCTGCAAAACTACATGAATGATTGCTAATTCAAATTGATGACGTATAACTTGATGACATAGCACCGTTGATGTTGACATGCTTCGAAAGAAAGTAGATCGTGTTCATAATTTAGAATTTTTGCTATCTGCAACTTTGAAAACATTATGTGACAATTGCTGGAGCTTTACATTAAACGAACTTCTGACTGAAAGTTGTAAGGACCATGGGATCGTGAAAATGAACTCTTTGGATGATGGCAGTACAAAACGTTTTAGGCAAGGCTAGGGGCTTACTTGTAGATTCATTGTTGATCCATGGTAAGTTACACCTACATTACTAGGTAGGCATACGTAGTATAATATAAGAAAGCATTATTGAAGATGTTAAAGGAATCTTATAACAACAAATTGACTGCTAGGCTTTACTTTCTCCGAAAGCGATTTAAACGAGGGGGGGGGGAAACATCTGTCTTCAAGTGGCTAATAATACAGGTTCCTCGATAAAATAAGACACTTCTTTGACATATACGAGTCTTTTTCTTGCTTTTAACGATATCCCTTTATCATTCATTTTATAAGGGCAATAATTTTCAAAAAATAAAAGTTTCAATAAAATAAATCTTGAAGTGAGGAATCATGTCAAAACCAGAAGTGCTATTGATAAAGCATCTACCCGTGGATAAAACATAGGTTTATCTAATGGGCTAAATCCCCAACACGTACACGAGATAAAACAAGATCTGACAGTATGTGTTTCGCTTTATACATAAACTGCTGCCTTACAAAACTATACATATGTACTTACCCTCTGGTATCTCTTGAGGAATCTCTATATCACAACCTGGAATCTTCTCTATGAGTTCATACAACTCATTCTGGACGAGGAAGGTGGGTTTTTCCTCCCTAACTCGGTTCTCCAGCTCTCTGTATACCTCTCTCTCCACCTGTAGGTAGCTGTTAGGTACGCTCCTCCCCAACAGGTATCTCCCTGCTGATTTCCCTCCCTCCTTCATTGTAAAGGCTGCATTGTACAGGGCATCTCTTAACTCAGCCACACCTTTAGAAAAAAAAGAGAAAAGTTGTACAACTTTTGATATTTGCAAGCATAGTAGGCAAAAACAACAAAAAAGGTCTATCTAAGTCAGGAGATACTATGTAGTGATAGAAAGTTTTGTAAATTAGGTCATCAGATAAGACCCCCACCTTCCCCTGTGGTACAAGACATAGGGATGATGTTGTAATCCTCTAGCTGGGAGCAGAGTCCCCCACATCTTTCCGAGGAACTCCCAAAGGCCTCTAGTAGCTTCTCCTTGATTTCTGTCACTTCAGTGACTCTGGTCGGGCTGTTATTCTTGTCCAGGAAGGTGGCAGCAATGATCACCTTTGAATTTGGATTTCTTGCCTAGTGGAGGAAAAATTAGTTTATATTACATAAAGTTTGTCAGAATTTAGTGCAAGCAAAGAACCATACCTGTTTTGGAGTACTTCTGAAATCTCATGATGAATTACATATCTCTAATTTTATCATTTTTCTTAAATTTGCAGTTTTTTAAATTTTCATCTGCTCCAACCAAAATATATAGTTCAAACAGGACCTAAAAGATCCCAACAAAAATTTTTTAAAAATTTAAAAGACAAATATCATAAAACATTGTCTAGCATATGCACCTCTATACTGTAGAGAAGTTTTCCTATTTTGTCCATGTCTTTGGCCAGAGACCAGAGATCCCAGACCACGAGGTACAGAGAGTTAGGGGTGAAGAAGCAGTGCTGGGTGGCCTTATAACACTCGTCTCCCGCCAGGTCCCACACACACAGCTCTACTGGCACCTTCTTAGGGTGGTCCCGCTGTATCAGCAAAAATTAACCATTTCACACGTTTGTCTATAAATGCCTCAAAGTAAAATATCCACATAAATCATACCTTTTGACACTAGTTTGGAGGAGAATCTCCCTTGACTTTAGGGTATTTTGACAAGTACATGTAATGAAGTTAAATTTTTTAAAAAGTTTTTTTTTTTTTTACTTTATAATTAATAATAATGTGAAAAATATTGTAATAAAAATTTATACTCTGCAACTTTTTTTTGGTCTTTTTTTTCATTCATTTCAGTAGTTCTTGATATGAACAGCTTCTATGGCTGCTTTGAATATTTAATATACTGTAAACCAACTTTTATTCGCGAATTTCACGAGAGTCTGGTAATCGTGAATATTTCTCGCCGCGAACCAATCCTTAAAGTGTCTTTGTCTATTAACAACAGATCAAAAAAGGCTTGATCGTGAAAATTAATCGTCGCAAACTTGTTTACCCAAGGTAAATTGCGAAATAAAGTCATCGCGAATAAAAGTTGGTTTACAGTAATCAGCAACAGGTTCATATTCACAGCATATTTTTTTATCAATAGAGAGCAGCTCACACTACCTTACAAATTATTTAACACCGTACCAGTACACATGATTTTTTTTTATCTTCACCTTTGTGTTTTAAATGATAGATAATATTGCAAAAAATTGAGAATATGGACATTCCACGAGTGCTAATAAATTCCTTTTTGCACCTACAGTTGAAGAAAACTATTGCATTAAATTTGAAGCACGCTTATTTATCTAAGTTAAATACAGTATTTAAAGAAGAAAAAGAACTACCTAATCTGTTCAGAAGAACTAAAAAGATAAGTGACTACATTCAAATGACTCATTTATGAAGCAAACAGGATAGGTATGTAAAAGCTACACAATAATGGCAAGTCAGTGCTTCAAAATACCCAAACAAACACAAGTATCTAGGATATATAAGCATACATGCTTTATTTATCATGCAGCTATAGAAACTGTAAATGTTCCGAAACCACTTGATAAGACAAATTGGGAAATTCTAGTTTTATACAGTAAAACATCTTTTAACAAACATTATACAAATGTATGTTTTAGTGAATACATTTTATTTCCTTTAAGAAGAGTCACAATTTGTCCCCAACTAACACAAATATAATGAGTTACCAGTAACAGCTTGTTATAATGGGTACTGAAACTAAAACATCTCTGGCAGTCTGCTATATCTAATACATGTATGTTTTACTGTAGAATAAAGTACATTTAGTACAAGTGTCCAGACCATGATTGAGAGAAACTTAAAATACTGTAAACATATTTCATTTGGCTGTATGTTCTTTATAGCACTTTTGGTGGAGAAAACCTACCGCTAATTCAAGTACAAGGCTAAATGTCTTGCACATATAATACATAAATAAGAACATTAAGAAATGCCCTAAATCAAATCTATGCTAACATGTTAAGAAATCAATTTCAGCCAAATTTGTACACGTTAAATATAAAATATTACTATATACATATATATTACTATATTAATATATACAATACTGTAAACTGTACAGACAAAGCTAGGACAATATTAAAATAAAACCTAAGTTAGGATGACAATAATTTTTTGAAGTTTGTTTCTCTCAATGATTCTGGACCTCTAAATATTAAAGAAAGGAAAGCGACTACTATTAATACATTAAACATATCAAAATGCAAGCGTATTAGCCATACCTCTGTCCGAATTCTGTGTTTATGATGGTGCCCCGGCTGTGATACATAGGTTTAGATTTTAGCTTTTTACACTTTCAATTTAGCAATTAGGATACAGATTATCCTCATATCAAAGTCAGAATTAGAAGAAATCATGCCAATCCAAACATTAAAAAAAATTCACGCAAATCAATCTGCTTATTTCTTTTTAATTTCAAATATATTACAATATAATTAAAAACTTTAAAACACTTTTCGAAATATTTCAACTGTGTTACCGGCCTTCATCAGTCAACAGTGACTGTTGAGTTGCTATGCAATAAACATGACTGATGAAGGCCGGTAACACGGTTGAAATATTTTGAAAAGTGTTTTAAAGTTTTTAATTGTATTGACAAAAAGAGACTTTGGATATTACAATATATATAGAAAGTTATCAGTTGTTTTAACTTTGTTAAAGCTGGAGAAAAATGTAGCATACTGTAGATTCCTAATTATACGCGAGGAATTAATTTCCGCGTAATTTCGCGAGAAGCATCGCTCGCGAAAAAATATTACTCGTTTTTATTTTTATGGTGCTGAAATCTATGTAAATTCTGTTGATCAACCGTCCATTCGCGAATTATAATTCTCGCGTTTTGACGTTAAAGAGCCAGTTCGCGGAAAAAAGCACTCGCGAAAAATAAGGAATTTACAGTATGTTTGAAAAGAGAAAATTAATCAAACATTGTATTATTTCTTAATACAGGTACGCCTTATAAAATATGATTAAGAAATAATTTTTTAAAACGGCATTTACACATACCAGCTTTTCAAAAAGACCAACTTTCTTTTTGGGAGACAGAATGGTTTCTACCCTCCGAAGTCCAGTTCCATGGAACTCGATATTGGATTTACAGCCTAGTAGGTTAGTAATGGCGGTTTTTCCTTTATCCTAGACAGAGAGTGAATAGAATTACATCAAAATGCAAATGTTTGAAAAAATCAATAAATTTTGTAGAGCATTTTAAATTATTCTTCGGTACCTTCTTGCCCACCACTACCAGCTTTAATCTGTAGTACCCTTTGCTCTGTCGTAATTTTTCATTCAGACTCTGAATCATTTTCTTGGTCCATATGTGACAATCTAAAAATGATCAAGTTTTGTCAAATTAAGTTGTAACATAGGATAAATAAGGATAACAAATTATATTGAGAAAAATTTAACCCAGAAAGAAATTTGTTCTAAGCTACAGGTACATACAAGTACATGTACTGGTGTAACATTTTAAAAATCTTATTTAGACCCAAATGTTGTCTTTTCAAGCTAGCTAATTTGTTTGGAACTATGTCCACATTTGACAAGTTTCTATAGCACTCTATATACTGTCAACCAACTTCTATTCGCCTGCAAGAAATATTCGCAAGTTTTGTGACCTACTTTTAGTCACAAATATTAATTGCTGCGATCCATTAATTTTACTTTGCTTTTTGTAGAACATTTTACCTTATTCCTGAAAATTAATCGTCCCAAATTGATTTCAAAATGACGAATTGCGAATAAAAGATGACGCAAATAATAGTTGGTGTACAGTATACCCTTACCCACAGGGGACGCTGGTTCCTCCCCAGCTATCTTTGTGCCATGGACATTCAGGCTGTTACACTGACTTAACTGCCCTAGTTCTTTTGGTAATTCTTTTATGGATGGATTTCTAAAAAATCAGCCATTAACTTGTTACTGCATATAAGTGCATTATTTATGATTTCAATGAAAGTAAAATGTATTTATTCCAAAAGTTATGTAATAGAACTGAAAATGTGATGAATTAGAATGGAATTTAAGAAAAGATCCCAGACTTCAATTGAATTACCTGCCCACTGACTTATTACCACATTGTTTTAAAAAGTAACAAAAACTGTAAATTATATTTAGCATGTACAATAGTTGGTGGAAAATGATTTTTGAACAAGTTAGGGAAGATTTCATGTAGCAAATTTCTCATTGTTTTATTCATGTCTATGGGTCCAAGACATTTAGCATTGTACTTGAATTAGTGGAATTAAGTTTCTCTCCACCAAAAGTGCTAAAAATTAAGAATTCACAGCCAAATGTAATACGTTTACTGCAATTCCCCTTTAATGAAATATTTACCTTGATATATCTAAAGTTTGCAGTGACACGAGTTCACAGACAGAAGGGGGAACACAATCCAAAAAATTGTCACTCAGATTTAACTCATTCAGACAATGAGCCAAAAATGAGGGGAATACAATTTTTGCGGATTCATTTTCCGCACTTGTAGAATTTCGACTCAACCTTCTTGGCAGTATTCTGGAAATGAAAAAAATATTTCAGATTTAAGGACAGATGATACAAACAAAAAATGGATGCCTGGATTGGTATATATTTTTTGGCCTAATTTCATTGCAAATGATGCAAATAATAAATTCCTAGAATATAAAGAAATTGTAAACCTTCTGTGGTGTTCAAAAGTCTGCCCTTCTGAAACCATCCTTATTAATCTATACAAATATTTTTCACTTCAAATTCCATTTTTGTGCAAATTTGAATAAAAAATTTAAAACTACGCGGTGAAAGTTATTCATTTTACTTATTTAAACATGACCCAAGTTGTTATTTTCAAATTCTTTGACAAAAGTTTGTTTGTATCATCTGTCCTTAAAACAATAAATAAGCTGTACAGTTACACATTTTATCTCAAACTTAATAGGACTGAGAAAAAAATTGAGATATCTGAGGATCTGAGATTATAATCCTGGGTAAAATACATAAAGAGGTTAGATTCTCCATTGCACTTGTCAAATTTGACATATCTGTAGTATTCAAGGTAACAGTGTTTAGGATAACAAAGTTCAACTGTACTAAACTGACTCTGAGCTAATTTTTCATTTTAAATTTACAATATATTTAGTATCATACCTGGGCTTCTGACAAGGAAGAGCTGAATCCCCCGTGGGGAGCCCCAGTCTGTTGCCACTGAGGTCCAGTATCTGTAACATTTTACAGTCCCAGACCTCTGGTCTGTGAAGGACACTGATTTTGTTGTTAGATAAATTTAACACCTGTAGACAACCTGTAAAGGAAGAGAGGATTCAATCATTTAAACCAGGTATTTGTAAAACACTATGCCTCCTCCCCCAAATAAAATGATTTTTAAATAAAGGGACATAACTCTGTCCAAATTGGCTTCATTGTACCCCGAACAGATCTTGACCTAGATATTTTGATGATAGATCTCTACACCAAATTTCATTTTTATATGTACAACCTCTGCAAAGAAAATGAACAGAATTAACTGCAAATAATTGGAATTTTTTTAAGTCCAAGGGACATAACTCTGTCCAAAATGATCCTATTGTACCCAAAACAGAGCTTGACCTAGATATTCTTCTGATAAATCTGTGTATTAAACTGCTAAATTTACATTAAATAATTATACATGTATAAACATACATAGTTTGACCATGCTTTCTGTCATTTCCTCTAATAAGTTGAAGTCAAGATGTAGCTTTTTTAAAGTTGCACACCAGAATAGTTCCACACTCGGGGCAAACCGGAATATTTCATTGTGAGAAAGATTTAATGTGGACTGCAAATGAATAAATAAATATAAATATTTATAAGTAGCATAAAGTGAAGAGCTAAACGACTCATTAGGATAACTTATTACCAGTTAAGTTATATAATCTTTATTTTTCCGATTTATGGAAAATGATTTTATTGTTCATATAAACTATACTTTACAGTACAGTATAACTGCTGAATTCATAAGCAATGCTATCTTTTGGTGATATTTGTTTTAAACACGAATTTGTATAATGACAATGATGCATTTTTCTTTTTTACCTACCAGTTTACATTCCCATGGTGATGGGAAGGCCACCAGTTTATTGTTGCTGGCGTCTAGTTCTACCAGACCAGTACAGCTACTGATTTCTGTCGGTAACATCTCTAATTTGTTATACGAAGCATTCAGGCAGCGTAATTTTGTACAGGACCACTCAGGTTTCTCAGCTGAAAACAAAAAAGCATTATTAAATCATATCTAGCAGCATGCATGTCATCGAGGTTCTGGTTAAAAAAAACAACTCTCATACATTTTATCCAATTTTCTTCAAACACAGAATCAAAGATGAACAATTTTTTTCATGGGACTTTTATTAGAAAACAAGTTCTTCTCCTCCTTGTTACCAAAAAGGTGCACTGTTACAACGAAAAATGTAATAACAACGCGAAATGTAATAAACATGGATTATTACATTTTGCGTTATTACATTTTGCGTCGAAATCAACGCAGAATGTAATAACGCAAAATGTAACAAGACATTTTTTAGGATTATTACATTTCGCGTTATTACATTTTGCGTCGAGATCAACGCAATATGTAATAACGCAAAATGTAATAACATGATTTTTGGATTATTACATTTTGCGTTGTTACATTTTGCGTCGAGATTAAGCAAACAGCAAGAACGCAAAATGTAATAACACACTCTTTGGTCAGCCAGATTGAGTACAATTATTAATAGAGTAGTAGCCGATGAAGAGGAAATAAAACAAAAGGAAAAAACAGATATATGCAATTTCCTACAATTAATGAAATTCATTATATATTGATATAATAAGCTACATGTGTTTAAAATCAGTTTAATTAATGTATTCAAATTATAGTTGTTGCAAATTAGAAACGCGCGTGAGTAGCAGTGTACTTTTGCTTTTTTTAATTGAAAATGCAATGAATCTAAAAGAAAACCTATTTATTTGTACTAGCAGGTTTAAATATATATCTGAAGGGTTTATTGACAATTATGATACCATACTGATCTATGCAAACCACCTGCATTGCAGACAAGCAAAAACACCCCCCCCCCTCCCTCTCTCTATCGATATAATAAAATGGACTGTTTCTGCATGTCCATAGTAATACAATGATAAATATGCTAAGTAAACACTCCACCCTATCCCTGCCCTTCCTTGCTTGACATACGCATACACTTCTTTGTTAACCAATGTCCACATGCCAAACATGCATATCAAAGCTAATAATGAACTTATGGTCAATTCTTTGGTGATTAAATAAATTGTGTTATTGGTTAGAAATTTAATAAGACTATCAAAAATAAGCCAATTAAGTTAAATTAAAGCTTTATAATTTAGCACAGTGTATTCAATATACTTAAGTCAGAGTCAGAAAAACGATACATTTTGATGTATTTATGTCCGTAAAAGCCCTAGCGTTGTTCTCATTGTTTTAGTTCTAATATTTTGTACAGCGTTTTTCCCATGTTGGTTATATGTATATTTTGAATCAATTTTATGATCTTTTTTGTTAAACGCAATCAAAAAAAAATTTTGTTTTATTACATATTGTTGTATTACATTTTGCGTTGTCTTCAGTGCAAAAATAAAGTAACGCAAAATGTAACAACGAAAAAGCACATTATTACATTTTGCGTTGATCTCGACGCAAAATGTAATAACGCTAAATGTAATAATCTAAAAATCGGGTTATTACATTTCGCGTTATTACATTTTGCGTTGATCTCGACGCAAAATGTAATAACGCAAAATGTAATAATCCAGGTTTATTACATTTCGCGTTGTTATTACATTTCGCGTTGTAACAGTGCACTGACAGACAGACAGACAATGTCATTGAAGTGTATCAGTAAGATAACGTATTTACCCTCTGACGACAGTTTCTTCCAGTCGTCATATCTCTGGTGAGACTTCACTAAATACTTCATTCTGTTGTGAGCGACATTCAAATACTTCAGTTCTGGTAGTTGAAAAAGTTCATAACACAGTTCTTCTAGCAAATTTTCTTGAAGGAGGACATTTTCTAAACTGAAATAGACAGGAAAAATTTATAGATTTTGTGCATTCATAAGAACTTGATACAAATAGCATGTATATATGATATATAGAGTTTTAAATCAAGTGAATTGAAATTTTGAAGCAAATTAATTGTGGTTCCTTTAATTTTGGTCTCTTCATGAATGGGATTCCATTATTTATGGCATATTCTGTCAAATATAACTGCCCTTTCAATGTCATTAAAAAATAATCTCCAAAATTAAAATTTTTGAAAAGTACTTGAAGGTCAAGGTCACAGGGTGAAAAACCATAGAATATATGGAAAGGATTTGTCACTGGTAATGTACATGTGAAATATGAAAGTCCTATCTCTTCACATTCAGAAGTTAATTAATTTTTATGACAGATGGACAGACAGACAAATGAATGAGATTTAATGTTTCCTCACTTTTTGAAAGTGACCAAAAAAAAACATTTAAAATAGAAATATCAGCATTTACAAATTGGTTTCACATGTGCACTCTGTGTTACCAAGATGCATAACCCGGAATGTGATGCAAATTTCATCAAAATGGGAGACCTATTAGTTTTTCCCGAGACTTTTGGTGCTTACAGAGAAAGCAAGTTATTATACATAAACAATGACTGAAAATACTTGCATGAAGATGTGATACCTGATGCACATGCCAATAACCTGCTAGCTGGCTTACATTTGTGATGTTACATAATTTGAAACAAATGTGCAATGATGTCATAATTTAAGCTATTTAGTACAGCTACAGAAATGACTTTCACAGTCTGACATCATTCTGCTTACAAACAATATAAGCTCTCTTCTATGCACGATTTTATTTTATGTTTCTTGAAACATTAGGTAATTATTTTGATGATTGTGCAAATTTAAAAAAAATTAAAAATTTCAATCATTAATTTATATCCATCAGTGATAAGATTCTCACTGCTTGCATATTAATTATTTGTTGTTAATTCAGAATATACTTTTGAAGCAGTTCTGCATACATTACGTACTGATCAGCACAGTTATGTGAAATAAGAGAAACAGATTGTTACGCCAAAGCAAGATACAGTGATACCTGTCTAATCCGACATGCACTGAGAGACAAATTATGTGTGGAAATAGACAGACTGCACAGTGTAAAACAAATGAAAAATAGTGTAATGGAAAAAAAATTTTAAGTCGGAATTCACAATGTGATGAATTGCACAGGTGTCCGATTAGACAGTTTTCACTGTACCTATTATCTAACCCCACATGTTCAAAACTCTCTTCAATGACTTAAAAAGAATACATTGTACACAAATGTTAAGAAATAATTCTTACTGAGAGCACTGTATTGCTGAGGGATTTTCCACTTTGAAGGCAGTAATTTTGTTACAGGAGGCGTTAAATATTTTGAGGGAGGGTAGCGACCAGGGGATGGCCGCCGGCAGACGTCTTATATTATTGTTACTGATGTTGAGTTCCACTAAAATGTTTTTGTAATCAGACAGCCAGTATTCGTGAAAACCTCCCAGTTCTTTGTGACTGTAGTTGGCTATGTGCTGAAAATGAAAATATGGATTCCATTTTAAATGATCAGTCAATTGTAGATTAATACATGTACAGTCAAACTTCGTTATCTTCAACCTGATGGGACTGAGAAAAACTTCGAGATAACCGGGGATTCGAGATATTGAAGGTTAAATACTTAAAGAATATGTGATTGGGACTTCCAAATCACTTCTACATATCCATGGTATTCGAGATATCGGAGTTCGAGATACCAAAGTTCAACTATATATATAAACCTATTTAAAAGTTCAACCTTCAGCATATCTGACATTAATATAAAATTTTTCTCTCCTTCTCCACTCTCTCCCTCTTTCACCTTTCTCTTTTTCATCACTCTCTTGCCCACATTCTCTCTCTCTTTCTCTCTCTATCATCAACCTATATTCCTCCTCTTTCTCTCTCTCTTCTCTTCTCTTTTCCTGTCTCTTTTTCTATTTCATTTCTTCTCTTTCTTCCTCTCTCATACAAAATAATATATGAAAATTATTGTAGAATTTCAACAGTACCACTAAATCTTCACTGTAGTCTTCATTTGTATATTCCAGTTGCTGTTGACTGATGCAGTTCTTCACCAGTTTACTGGAGATCTCTGGGAAATCTTCTATGATTTTCTGGGTAAGCTCGGCACCAAATCCTACTAACAGCTCAGTCACTTCTAGATGATTTCCTATTATAGATCACTCATTACATATCTGAGCATTTTGATTGATGACTGCTAAGTAAGCAATCTTCCCTCTACCTTTCTGTTTCAGGATAAAATCTTAAATTAAAAGTTTTGATGAAGCTACTGACCAGCACAAGCTGCATACAGTGGAGTCTTGTCCATAGAGAAGGAGCCGCCGCGAGAGTAATAAGGGGGGTGGTTGATGTCCATTTCCGGGGTCAGCCATAGTCGAATGATCCTCTGGTTACCTCCCAAACAGGCTGCATACAGGAGACAAGTCCTCACCCTCAGATCCTTCACCAACTCTGATAATTAATAGAAAAATTAAATATCTGTATAGGACATGCCTCTATAGATCTTAACAGGGTTATATATATTGAGACAATGTGTATATAATTTGTACAGTCAAACTTTTGTATCTCAAGAATATCTTGAAGTAAACTTGCAAACCATTATCAAATCCTCAGAAATCTAAAGGTATTTTTTAGGTTACATCAAGTTTGAGATCACAAGTTTTCAATATACTAGTACACATGTATAAATGTCATGTTTCATTTGTCTTAAATTGATTTATTTTCTTATCAAACTGTCAGCGAGATTCTTAAAATTACAACTGAAATTTCAATAATGACAAAAAATTTTTCTTTATGCATATGTCAATTCTGTTAAGTGGACACACTAATTATCTCTTTCATAAAATGCTTTAATTATACATTTTAATTTCTACACATGAAGTATGATCCTAATACATGTATAATCAATATAAGGAAATGTAAATAGGTACTTGTAATTTTTGAAAAGTTAATAAATAAGAAGGAAACAAAAATGATAAAATTGTATTTTATATATAGAGTTTTGATTATCATTTCCAACAATGCTAGTACAAAAGCTCTTGTATTTGCATTCTGATTGCATACAGGCATGTTTGTTTTAATTACACTGTCCATGCAAATGCCATTCAATATATTTGCTCAGATTAGTCCCTCAATTCATGCTTGTTTTAATCACTCAAAGTCTGAATGTCAAAAACACTAGTTTTACTTCAGTGTGAATCAAAGCATACTAATATCAATCACTGTGCATGTTTGCTTCAATTACTCTGTCAAAATCTGTTTCAATTACATGTACTCTGAAAGAGTTTTTGTTTTTTTATCAAAATAGCTTGTTTATTTCAATTACCCTGTCACAATTACTGTGTCAAAGAAAGTTTACTTCAATTACTCCATCAAGGCATGTTTTCTCAATTACTCTATTACATGTACTATTATCCTCTCTTAGAATGTTTACCACTATTCACAGAATCAATGTTTCAATAACTCTGTGATAGAATATTTACTTCAGTTATTCTGTCAAAGCAAGTTTATTTCAGTTACTCTGTCAAGGCATGTTTACGTCATTTACTCTGTCAAAGCATGTTCACTTCAGTTACTCTGTAAAGCATGTTTACGTCAGTTACTCTGTCAAAGCATGTTTACGTCAGTTACTCTGTCAAAGTATGTTCACTTCAGTTACTCTGTAAAGCATGTTTACTTCAGCTACTCTGTCAAAACATCTTTACTTCAGTTACTCTGTAAAGCATGTTTACTTCAGCTACTCTATCAAAACACTTTTCTTCAGTTACACTGTCAAAACATCTTTACTTCAGTTACTCTGTAAAGCATGTTTACGTCAGTTACTCTGTCAAAGTATGTTCACTTCAGTTACTCTGTAAAGCATGTTTACTTCAGCTACTCTGTCAAAACATCTTTACTTCAGTTACTCTGTAAAGCATGTTTACTTCAGCTACTCTATCAAAACACTTTTCTTCAGTTACACTGTCAAAACATATTTACTTCAGTTACTCCCTCAAACCATGTTTACTTCAGTTACTCTGTCAAAACATGTTTATTTCAGTTACTCTGTCAATGCATGTTTACTTCAGTTACTCCCTCAAACCATGTTTACTACACTTCTCTGTCAAAGTATATGTTTACTTCAGTTACTCTGTCAAAGTATGTTCACTTCAGTTACTCTGTAAAGCATGTTTACTTCAGCTACTCTGTCAAAACATCTTTACTTCAGTTACTCTGTAAAGCATGTTTACTTCAGCTACTCTATTAAAACACTTTTTTCTTCAGTTACACTGTCAAAACATCTTTACTTCAGTTACTCTGTAAAGCATGTTTACTTCAGCACTCTTCAGTCAAAACACTTTGTCTCTCAGTTACACTGTCATTAAATAAAAGAAATACATGGTTTACTTAAAGTTACTTCCCTAGAAAGATAAAAAATAGGCCATGTTTACTTTATTTGTGATTTATCAAATGCATGTTTATTTCAGTTACTCTGTCAATGCATGAAACTTCAGTTAGTCCCTCAAACCATATTTACTTTACTACACTTCTAAAGCATGTTTATTTCAGTTACTCTGTCAATGCATGTTTACTTCAGTTACTCCCTCAAACCATATTTACTACACTTCTCTGTCAAAGTATATGTTTACTTCAGTTACTCTGTCAAAACATGTTTACTTCAATTACTCCATCAAAACATGTTTACTTCAGTTACTCTGTCAAAGCATGTTTACTTCAGTAACTCCCTCAAATCATGTTTACTTCAGTTACTCTGTCAAAGTATGTTTACTCAAGTTACTCTAACAAAGCATGTTTATGTCAGTTACTCTGACAAAGTATGTTTACTCAGTTACACTGACAAAGCATATTTACTTCATTATTCTTTTAATGAACTTTAATGCACATCAATACAATTACTTTGTCAAATTATGCTTCATTTTTCTAGGTTAGTTTGCTTCATTTCTGTGTAAAAACCTGCTTGCCTCAATTATATTGTCAAAGAAATACATGAATTTATACAAAAGTTTAAGTAAGAGATATGCATGCTTATAAAAATTTCTTTATAAGCTTAATTAATTGATAGAAATAAGCTTGTAAAGCCTTTAGAACAAGTAAGCAAGCATTACAAATTTAAAATTATTGTTCTAGCATAAAATTTTGGGTATATTTGATTTAATGTTTAGTTCTATAACCAGCAAATATTTTTTAAATTTAATTATCAACACTTTCTTTTTACTTAAGTATATCTAAATTACTGTAAATCACTTTTTATTCGCGAGAACTTTATTTTCGCTTAATTACGTGAGACGGAATGCTCGTGAAAATTTCATTCTCGCGTATTATAGAATTCCTTAAGATTAAGAGCAATGAACACAATTAGTGAAAATTTTGTCTCGCTAATAAAGAGTCAATGAATATCTCGCGAAAATAAGGTGTCGCGAAAATTAAGTGATCTACAGTATAATGTTTTGATGTCCATAATCTACAGACTAAAAATGTGTTTTACTCTGTATTCAAAGTGTCATCTCAATTATACACATTAAAGGTACCCGCAGTACATGTACTAAGATTTAAGACATGGATATTTATGATAGCATTTTTATAATACAGAGTAGAGATAAAAGGGCTGTTATTTGTGTCCCCAACTTGATTAGAGATAATGTCATCAAGGTCATGGGATTTAGACCAGAGATAATAATTTAGGAAAGGAAAAACATAGTACACCTACAAATCTAAATATCAGTTATCAATGATGTTACCATTGGGTGAAGCTGGGGGGTCATGTGATTTGGATGAGGGACTGCATTGGCCGGGACTTCACTTTTAGATATTTAAAGTCCAGCTAACTAGCAATGATGACATGCATTATCTCTATTGTTTATCACTGATCAATTTGCTTATCACAATTCTCTACTTTTTATTTTTATCAGTTATAATTGTAGATTATTAGTGTCTGGACCTCTACCTGAAGATAATATGCGAATAAAATTTGCAAGCTTTTTGGTCTGCATTAAAAAAATTCACAGACTGGTTGATGCCATTTTTTTTTTTTTTTTTTTTTTTTACATATTTTTGAAATAATTGAAGGAATAACTGTCTAATTATTTGGTTTCATGATGTGATCAATCCATTGGATGAAATTAATTATCATGCAAGTCAATCAATTGTTCATCGTCAGGACCGAAACCAAAAAATCTGACAGTAATTCCTTATATATTACATGTACATGCTCTTGATTCCGCAAATTCATGTGCTACAAGCCCCGCTTCTGTCTCTATTTGTCCCACCCTGCACATGATTTTTTTAACCTTGTCAATTGATGAACCAGTAGATTTATATAGAAATAAAGTATTTTTATTTAATTGTAATTTTATCCCAGACAAAGATATTGGAAATGTAAATTATAACAAGATGTGTTTGTGAAACACTGATGCCCCTGTATGGCAACATAGCGAAAGTTAAGCTTTCTCAAATGCACTTCTCAAATATGTTGGTACCTAAAGTAAGGCCTTTTCACAAGAAATATAAATGTGAAATATAACACCCTAGCACCATCTTTTCAAAGGTTCTGACCAAGCTTAACGTTTTTAAAAGTAAGACAAATGCTGAGGTCAAGATCAAGGGGTCAAGGTTGTTGGTTTCTAAAGAAAGGCCTTGTCTCAAAGATTACATATGGGAAGTATGAAAGCACTGGTCCTTACTGTTCAAAAGTTATGGCCAATGTTAAAGTTTGTAAAAAGTAGGTCAAACTCCAAGGTCAAGGTCAATGGGTCAAAGTTGTTGATATCCAATGAAAGTTCTTCTCACAAGATTACATATGTGAAGTATGAAAGCTCTAGTTCTTACTACTGTAAATCACTTTTTATTCGCGGGAACTTTATTTACGGTATGCTCGTGAAAATTTCATTCTCGCATATAATAGAATTCCTTAAGATTATATAGAGCAATGACCGCAATTCGTGAAAATTTTGTCTCGCTAATAAAGAGTCAATGACTATCTCGCGAAAATAAGGTGTCACAAAAATTAAGTGATTTACAGTATTCAAACGTTATGACCAAGATTAAAGTTTGTAAAAAGTAGGTCAAACTCCAAGGTCAAAGGGTCAAAGTTGTTGATATCCAATGAAAGGTCTTCTCACAAGTATTAAATATGTGAAGTATGAAAGCCCTAGCCCTTACCATTCTAAAGTTATGGCCAAGGTTAAAGTTTTTTTTGTAAGTACATAAATCTCCAAGGTCTAGGTCAAAAGGTCAGAGTTGTTGGTACTCAATGAAAGGTCTTGCCACAAAAAATACATATATGAAGTATAAAAGTCCTGGTATCTACTATTCAAAAGATATGGCCAAAGTAAAAGTTTGGAATTTTTGTGTAAAAGTGGGTCAAACTCCAAAGTCAAGGTCAAAAGATCAAATTTGGTGGTATATAAAGAGAGGTCTTGTCACAAGGAATACACATGTAAAATATGAAAGTCATAGCTCCACTAAATCAAAAGTTATGGGCAAGGTTAAAGTTTTTGTGGACAAACAGACAGACGGAGACGACAAAAACTATATACCCCAGAAACTTTGTTTATGGTGGCATAATTACCATGTGCTTATAGAGTCAACTATTTTCAAGCAATAGAGGCAGTTATTGTCTAGAATAGATCTTTTTTAAGTGATTGTCCAAAATACATATTCTATCATGTAACTGTATGTAGAGAGAGAGAAACACAACAATAATAATAGTCCTATTATGTATGCTTTGCATTTGTTATCCTATAAAATGAACCACAAATTGCATAAGCAGTATAATATCATAACATTATTATCGTAATTATTGCCAAGGATATGAGGGAATTTTGGTGCATTCCTTTGGGTTACTGATAACATGATTTGTGTAGGGAAGCTTACAAAATAAATACATGTAATGATAAAAATAATTTATATTAAATTAATAAATATTAATTTAAGCAAGTGAAGATTTATGCATTATTTCTTTTATTTCATTAAAATCATTTTTCAAAGGCATGCAAACCTTGTGGGTCCTGTTTCATCACTGCATGTTAAAATGAGAACACTCTTTAATATTATATTTATTTTAAAAAATAATTTTTTAATCTTATTTTGAAATAAGTTTAGTTGAGTCAATATTAATAGAAGATTAATTATCAATCAACATCAAAGTCTACATAAGTTATATCTACTTTATCTATAGCAAATATATGTTAAAGCATGTGACATATGTAATCAAATTTATTTTCAACTTATGTTAAATATTTACATGCAGGTACACATGCTAGAGGTTAAAGGTTATCTATGAAGGATGAGGAAGTTAGCTGCAATCAGAAATATTCAGGTTAAACCACATATTTAAACTGTTAGCATACAGTGATTGGATAGGAATGGGCCCATTCAGATATCTGATTTCATGTTAACATTTGAAGATCAAGCCTAAATTCCTTCATTTGTTGGATGACCTTTGACTTATCTCTGAAATTTACAAGATTAGAAAAGAAACATGCAAATGATAATAGAGATTCCCATCAAACCCCAAAAGCTGTAAATGCTCATAAAAAGAGAATGGTATACATATCCTAAAATACCATGCATATTTTAAGTGTCATTAAGCTATTGGTATGTATCAATCGACGCATAAAAAATTGTACCAGCATGCTAACAATTTAAATTGGTTCTCACCCAGTGGTGTTGGTATATTAGACGTACTTGGCTGGTACAAAAACAGCTTCTCTATGACCCCATAATGGCCGCATGCTGACGCTAGGTAAAAGGGGGAGTTGACATCATAAATAGGGACTTCTTCGGACTCCAGCCATGCCCCCGCATCCAGCAAAACTGGCACCACCTGATCAGTTCCATGCTTACAGGCCAATTGCAGTGGTGTTCCCTGAAATTTTGCATTCAATTTTATCCAACTGTATGCTCTTATATCTTAATTACGGACTTATAATCTAAAGAGACAATTGATGCTCAAAGAAGTTTGTTATAGCCAATAAGACAAGAGGCCCATGGGCCGCAGTGCTCACCTGAGTTACTATGGCCCTCCTGTTCTGTATTGGATGTTTCTCTATCTATTCCTTTGTAAAATTTAGATAATGTATTGTAGTCCCATACTACCCCCTAGCCCAAACTACCCCAAGATGTCTTGATTTGAACTGTGCAGTGTGGCAGTCAGCCCGGCTCGATCACCAGTAGCCAGATAGCTCAGTTGGTAAAAAACCTGATTGGAGATTGAGGGGACCTGGGTTTGAATCCTAGTCTGGTCCGCTGCATTTTTCTCCTCTCCTGTTACATTTGGTGCCATGCCATGCCCTGGACCTGTCGGTAAGAGGCCTGCCAGGGGATGAGCCCAGGTTGGGGTCTTTGGGGGGGCCGAAGACCTTTAAGGAAGGAGGAATGTGGCAATTAGCTTGGCTCAATCGCCTGTGTCAGATAGCTTAGTTGGTAGAGCACCAGGGGGCCCAGGTTCAAATCCTGATCTGCTCTGCTGCATTTTTCTCCTTAGTACACAACAAACTGGAATCTGAAGATGATTCCATATGAATATAATTGAATCGAGGGTTTATGGCAATTCATGGGCAATGACAATGATGACAGACAATGGAAAATTTTGATCAGAAAAGCTCACCTGAGCCCTTGGCTCAGGTATTGAAAAAAAAAAAACACAACAATTTTTCATTACATATAGCAATATATTGTATTGACTCCTCTGTATCACATTAATGCATTGATATACCGGGTAAATATAGATGCATTGTTACAACCCTAATATCCAACCAACTTCATTTCCGAGTTAACATTGTTATATAAATATTTATTACCTAAATCTATATTTGTTCCAAACATTAGAAATATTATTTACATGAATGAAGCAATGTAGTCTGAAATGTATGTCTCATCAAGCTATGATCTTAAGATCATAATCTGACTTTTTAATCTTGAAAAAAAAAATTCATTCAAAAATGTTAACGTTGGTCTCAATAACTTCATTACAACATGAAATTATAATTTCAAATTTAAATATCTAAAATTAAACTGACCTCCTCACTTGATTGGTTGACGTCGACACTGCTGGACTGCAGAATGGCCTGTATGACATCACAACTTGATCCTGGCTGCTTACAGACATAATGTATTAAAGGCAGTCCATCTACAGTTAGACCTGAAGCCCCGGGAGAGGATCGAAGAATTTCTTTAAGGCTCTCTGCATCATTGTCTTGTATCGCTTTCTTAAGTTTCTGGATGATATTACTTTGATCATCCTCTTCCATTATATAATTAGTTTTCTTTCCTCAGCTGTCAAGGAAAAAAAGTCATTATTTTATTGTTTAAGTACTTAAACTTCCTTCCTATATACAAGTACTGTAGTGCATCATATGAAGATTATGAAAGAGCTGGTTTATTTGGTTTAAAAAATACTGTAGAAAATAAATTAATATAATTATGCATGTGTAAAATAGCATTACTTAACGTATAAGTGGAAATTTTAGCGAGACGCAAATTTAGCAATTTGTCCTTAAAATCTGGTATTTTATTTTTAGCGAGTCAGAAGTAATTTTAGCGATTTTTAAATGCTCACTTAAGAAGCTATCACAAATAAAACCCAATTAATTCTTAGCGATATTCAATTTTAGTGATCTCAGCACCCTCACTAATAATGCCAAAATAAAATCCTCGCTAATATTTCCACTTATACGATATATCTATCTCCATTCAAGATCAGAGCAATATGTATAGTTCTAAAAAGCATTAATCTCAGCGAGATGTCATAAGGAGTAAAATATTTGGTCTGACGTCTGCTACCAAATATTTTAGTCCCTACGACATCTCGGAGATTAAAATAGCATTATGCAATAAGTCAATCTAGCAATTGGGGGAAAAAAATAAACCTGATATAATAGGCCTATACAATTTATTAAATCAAGAACACACCACTGCACACATATGGTATTACAATACTGTAATATTATACTAAAATAATTCAGTACATAGGTGTAAATACAAAAATTATGACTCACCTTAAAATACATGTATTAATACATTCATTAAAGAAATGTTTGACATAAGAGAATTTTTTTTCTTTTTTAAAGGAATTCCCTTTTCTTAATATTTTCATGCCTAGCTGATAAAGAAATACCTTATACAGATAAAAGAAAACAGAAAGGTATACAAAACACCTGAACCGTCATTGCTTCCTCCTTTGTAGATAAATAATTATTATTCATTAGGTTAGGGGTTGAATGGACAATTTTACAATTTCCACCTAGCTAAGTAATCCATGTTTTATTATCCCTTTAATTTGCCTGCTTTATCAATCAGTAGGTATACAATTTTATCACACATAGACTTGATATCTTGGTCAGCAGAGCTGGAATTAACCTCTTCACAATGGATGTAAAACAGAGGGTATTATCAAATTTCCCAGCAGTAAAACTGAGATTCCAGAGCCTTTCTCATGTTACCTTAAATGTGGGGTATAAATGTTACTTAATTGGCCTAAAATATAGTCATTCCTCTGGTGTTTCTACAGAAACATAAAAAATAAGAAATTGATTTTTAGCTGACTTCATTGTGAAATAAATGATAAAAAATTCATACCACTTCCTCTTACTTTATCAAAACTTCAGATTTGAAAAAATTGCTTCCTACCTACTACAGGTAATTTGATCTATATTGAAAACAAGAGACCCATGGGCCACTTTGCTCATCTGAGTAACCATAGCAATGCTGTTCTTCAGAAATTATTATTACTGGTATTTTTTTTATGCCCCCCATAATTGAAGATCTGGGACTATATAGTGTTTGCCCTGTCCATCTGTCTGTCTGTCTGTCTGTCTGTCCACAAAAACTTTAACCTTGCTCATAACTTTTGAGTGGGTGGGGCTTCGGCTTTCATAATTTACAGGTGTATTCCTTGTGATAAGACCTTTCTTTAGGTACCACCAAATTTGACCTCTTAACTGTGGAGTTTGACCCCTATTTATGAAAAATTGTGAAACTTTAACCTTGGTCATAACTTTTGAACAGTTGTATGGTGCTATACTGCTTTCAATTACTTCACATGTATATTAACTGTGAAAAGACCTTTTAGTGGGTATAAATCTTTTTTACTTTTGACCTTGACTTTAGAGTTTGACCAACTTTTTAAAAACTTTAACCTTGCATGGCCATATACTTTTGAACAATTCGAATTGAGGGCTTTCGTATTTCACAGGGTATCACTTGTGACAAGACCTGCCTTTAAATACCAACAATTTTGACCTTTGGAGTTGGACATGCAATTGAAAAAATTCAAACATACCTCACCCATAAGCTACCATATGGGGGCATCAATTTTTCACAAGCACATCTCTTTTTTATAAATTGTGACCAATACCATATATTCTAACTCCAAACCTGCCTACCCTTTTCATTGCAAGGGTGTAATTTCAATAAATTTTTGGTGGAATTTCAGGGGTAAAAGTGTAATCAATCCTGTTTTCCTATTTTGTTGTTTTACTATAATACTTTATTTTCTTTCAAAACAATCAAAATCGTACATTACTAAACAAAGCTGGAAAAAAAACTTTCTTTTTCGAATCATCTATTGGCCAAAAAAGTGTTGTGAAATACCAGTATCCTACATTAAACTCGAATCAACCGTACACCCTTAATGAAGCATTTGGTCAGTTTGTATCAAATCACTTAACTGAAGGCTTGCGTTTGCATGTTTACACAAATCGTACATAATAACACTGTATTCTATCTTTTTAACACTCAAATATCTCTATCTTGTTCTATTAGCAATGTTAATATAAACAAAATTAGCATAGAAATGGCTGTACTTATTGCAGTATAATTTAATAGTTTACGTAAGTAGTGCCTTCTTGTGTTCTTCCGAATCTTCGCCATACCAGTTTACATATAATTACTCTAGGTATATTACGTTCGTTTACGAACTGGTCCTCTATCAATTACTTTTATTATAGATCAACTTTTAATTTCATTTCAGCAGGTCATACTTTGACTCTTAATTTAGACGTTCAAAGTGGATTTTAAACCAAAATATCAAAAGTGTAAAATTAATATAAGTGGCGTAATAGCGTAAATTTGTGGTAAAAAGCTGAAGAATTACGCCAAAACCGGAAGGGTAGGCAGGTTTGTAACTCTAAGGGGTCACTGCATGAATCCACAATACATTGCTACCCTTTTCTGGTTCCTAATAGACCCTACTCTAGGAGACTCTTAGTCGATTCCTTTGGCCTAGTTAACAGCCTCAAACAAACAGTATTGTCTGACCTAGCAAGGGAATTGTTGCCCTTAAACCTAGCTCATATTGAGGTCAAAGGAATGTTGATAAACATATTGGAATTATCCCCCCTTCCTTCTTTAAATATAGACATATCACTTAAATAAATGTTAATTTATATATGATCTAATAATATGCATATAATAACCCTTAATCAAATTATCTATATTGACAACCAATCTCAATCAAATATGTTGAATGTTTATTTTAATTGCTAATTGAATAAAACTTGAGGTACTTCTACCATTTCCTGTCATCCTATGATCTAAGGTTAGAGTTCTCTTTTCCTTTTCATGGTGTAACTTCCTGGAAAGTTGTAAATTTTGTCTTTCATCAGGAAAAGGTTTGCTCGTTTTAATAAAATTGGGTTGGCTTCACATTGGCCACTTAGGATTGATGACATCATAAATATACCACAAATAGACAAGCATGAGAATTATAGCCATAGGGAAATGAGGTTTACATATATAAGTGGCTCACTTTCAGTATGTAACATTTTTAAAAATCAAACATTGTGAATTGTACAATTAATAAGTTTCCTGGATAGAAATTAAGATTGTCCTCTGTATAAGATATACATGGAGAGAACGATCATAGGCATTTATGCCTGCTGTTCAATCCATTTCTTTATGAATAAAATATATTTTAAAGTAAGATATACTTCAGGTTTCTTAACAATGCCAGGTCACATTCCAATGTCAAATTTTCTAGATATACACATGACATATATGCTAGCTTATTCACATTCACTTCAGAAAATCTAAATATCCCTCTTATTTCTGAAAAATAAGCTGTGTTTATGACTGATATAGTTTCACTTCGGGTGCGTATCATTACCGCTACATTTTCAAAATTTTCATTACCGCTACATAGTCATTACCGCTACAAAAAACCTTACATTACCGCTACATAAAAAAGTATACATAACCGCTACATTGCCTCTTTCATTCGCTAGCCACTTATGCGTGTACAGTACAACCTATACATGCATAAGACCTGTTTCCCCTAATTAAAATCAATTTTGTTTCATAAAACACAAAAAATTAAAATCAAGCACTGTTCATATATAGACAAGATTCTAATTAGTTTTGTCAAATGCCCCATCTAATACCAATAATTTGCCGAGGTCTGTTTTGCAGCTGCTCTTGCAACTCTTTTCAATGCATCTCCACAATTTTGAGTTTTTGAAAGTTTATTTTTTTCTAAATTTATAACCATCGACAAGTAAGCCGGCATTCCCTCGATTTGTAACAAACTTCTCAAAGGGGGCCATAATGTTCAGATGACGCTAGATGATTAAATTTCGACTGCAGAGTTATTTATATATAATTTTATATACTCATTCTGATTAGATAGTGAGTGAATTCTGTTTATTAGAACATATACCGAACCATACCTGGTTAAATCGATATGTAGCGGTAATGAGCTGTTTTTGGCTGATTCAATATGTAGCGGTAAAGACCTTTTTTTGGCCGGAAAAATGTAGCGGTAATGATCAGGTCGAAAATCTGAAAAAATGTAGCGGTAATGGGTTGAAATTTTTGGCAATGTAGCGGTAATGTTGACCTCCCTTCACTTCAACCTTTTAGTTACCAGGTAATTATTCATTAGGAATTTTCAAATTAACTATTAACGTGTAATCTTACAAGATATATCATCTAAATATAATATTTCTTTTTAATTCATAACAATGTCATACCCCCCCATCCTAGGATCTACTGCAGTGATATTATAAGATTAAAGCAGCTACATAGATATAGATGTATCTGTAAGGTAGACGACATGCTAGCTTAGCTGCTATAAACATTTCATTCTGGAATACCAAAACAAGATGGTGACCTCAAGAACCACTTCACACACAATATTTATGTACAATGTACATAAACTGGACTTTGTTTCTTCCACATTTTACAATTGTCATCGTCCAAATATGTTCCTAAAATAAAATGCTGCAATTTACCTAGGTCATTTTAAGGAGTTATATTTTGCAGGGCAAAGGGGGT